GATAAAAATTGCATAGACCTGCCACCCAATGTTTAAGAACTGAATGACTTAAGTAATGCAATTAAAGGAATTTTCCTATTAAATGCAACAAAACAAAATCGCTATCTTCCATGTTCTATTTCCCCAAATCCAATTCTTCTGGCATTTTTGATATTTCCTATTCCAAGTAAAATATTTATGTGGCTGTCTTAACTTTTTTCCAATTTCATATCATTATATCACTAAGGAAGACAATTTTTCTTTCTTTTTTTAATCCTACTATCCTCTTTCATGTGTATACAATTATTTCTTCCTTACCTTCCTTATATATTCCTGCTGTCATTTTAGTAAGGTTGCTATTATGACCACATAAAATTCATGATTATTTTCCCTTCCTGTATACCTTTTCTCATTATAGTCAAGTACATCAGTGTTGTTTGAACTGTGTCTTCTTAAATCATCCTATCGTGGAACCCTCTGGACTCCATTGGGCTGGACCAGTCACCAGCTGCCTTGACGTCTGGGTCCCAGCTGTCACCCTGCATCTCCTTTCACTATCATATTGAGGAGTCTTCTAGCTATTCTCTAATATTGGATTTCTTTTTTTTTTCTTTTTTTGTATGTGATGTATTCCTTTCTCTTGGCTAGTCCCTCACTTTGGTGGAGTCTTCATTCTATTTACTTCCTAAGAAGATTATTGAGAACTAATTCTTTGGCATGTTGTCTTTCTGAAGATTTAGTTACTCTATTTCATATTTATGTAAGAGTAATGTAAGTATAGAAGTCACACTTTAATTCTTTTCCTTCAGACTTTGAAGGCATTGTTAATTGCCTTCTAGTTTTCAGTGAAGTCTGATGCCATTCTGATTCCGGGGGCTTTATCTAAAGCCCAGGATGGTTTACAATTTTCTTTTTAATTTAATATTCTGAAATTTCACTGATATATGCCGTAGTCCAGCATCTATTTTTGTCTGCTAGGCTGGGAACTTGGCAAGCTCTCTTAATATGGAAATATATACCCTTCAATTATAGGATATTTTCTTAAACTCTTTGTTTCATCCCCTTTTTCTCTGCTCTCCTGTGAGAACTCCTGTTACTAAGACATTGGGCCTCCTAGACTAGCTCTTTAGTTTTTTTCCTCCCTCTTATTTCTATATTCATGCCCTTTTGCTCTTCTTTCTTAGATACTTCCCCACATTTATTTTCAAAGCCTTTTATTGAGGTTTTTCGAGTTTTGAATAGTAATTTTTCATTCCCATCGCTCTTTCATTTTCTGAATGTTTCTTATACTTTCCTATTTAGTAGAAGGTAATGTATTTTCTCCCTTCAGGTTGTCAATGATAGACTTCATTCCACTGGAAATGTTCTTCTTGCCACACAGTGTTTCCTTTCCACTGTTCTTTCATTTCTTTGTTTTGAGCCTGTCTCTTACATCTCTCATGCTTTCATATGTGTCTGGTGAGCATTAGCTGTTTGGTCAAGAGAAGGGAGCATGGACCATGCTCTTCTTTTACGGACTTCACTTTGAAGTGGTCTGGCAAGACCTTTTCTTTAGAAAGCCAGTGGAGCCAATGTTGAAGACTCCAGGTATATTTTTATAGGCTGGTTGGTCTCCAGTAACGTTTCCACCAGTGTCCTGCCTGGACAGTAACACAACTAGAGTACCAGTGTTTTAAGAGCTTACCCATGGAAAGCTATTCTATATGGAAACTGACATTGAATCCATCTATTTTGCTTTGCACCCTGTACATCCTACTCTAGAAAAGAGGCTTTTTAAAAAATTTTTTTAAATTTTTATTAGTGAGACACCATGAGGTACAGTTGTAGACTTACAAATTTTTGTGCTTGGGTTTCAATTATACAATGATCAAATACCCACCCCTCCACCAGTGACCATTTCCCACCACCACGGATCCCAGTGTTCCTCCCACCCCCCACCCCACCCCCATCTCACCCTGCCTCTGTGGCAGGGCATTCCCTTCTGTTCTCTCTCTCTCCTCTTGGGTGTTTCATAGGGAAACTACCACTCATTTTCTTTTAGAGTCAGGGATAACTATTTGTCCAGCTCTGGAGGGCCAGAGTGAAAATCTAGAAGTCTACGTGCTTTTTAAACAGACTTGAACAAACCGTCCTGATTTTGACTTCACATCTGCCCCCACTGCTCCACCCCCCCCCCCACCCCGCCCAGCCTGCCCCTGGCTTTCATCAGTGTATGGTGCCTATGGGGTGAATTGGTTACTTCTCCGTTTTCTCTACTGCTGGCTTAGGATTCATCTTTCTCAAATCTGCTAAATCCATCTGCCCATCTGCTTTCCAGTTACCCAAATTCACTTGTTATTGTTCCCTTTTTCATCTTTTTTTCTTTATAGTTTTATGTACTTTTCCTCATAATCTCTTTCTCTGGTTTTTAGTGAGATTTGTGGAGAGTGATATATAATGAATATATTTAAAATGCTGCCTGTAACCAGACATCCAACAGCATCATTCTCAAGAAAGATATGACTAGCCAAATCGATGTTTGAGTCAGAAAAAAAAATACTTTTGCTTTGTTCTGTCAGGGGTAACCAATACCAGCACAAGCATGAAACTGGCCTGCATGCTTTTATCAGTCAGCAAATTTCCAGCAACTTCTCTAGGCTTGAGAGCTGGGCCGTAGCCAGGGTTTAGCCATGAGCCATTCCTCTAGGTTTTCATGCCTACCAACAGTGATTTGCACTGCATTCTCCTTTCCTGGGACAGTTCTGTGAGTTTGTGTCAACCCCAACAATCTCAGTTTCCCTACATTACCTCAAAGATAAGAACATTTCCCTCCTGCCACCACCCTGCCATCACCCCCAGCCTGCCTCTGTGGCAGGCACTTTTCTTCTTTGTCTTCCTCTCTCTCTAGTTTTAGGCATTACGGTTTTCAATACAGATACTGAGAGGCCATCCTGTTTGGTCCTTTACCCATTTTCACACACATCTCCTATTCAGAGCGATCCCTTCCAACCATCATTGTCATAATGGTCCCTTCTGTATCCTAACTGCCCTCTCCCCAGTCCTTGATATAGGCTTCCAGCCATGGACCATTAATCCTGGCCCTTGTTTCTAATGTTCTTGGGTGTTAGTCTCAGACTATTTTTTTAATATCCCACAATCATTTTTATATCCCACAATGCATTCATTCTATGTTTGTCCTTTTCCTTATGATTTATTGCACTCAGCATGATATTCTCCATGTCCATCCATTTACAAGCAAATTTCATGACTTTATTTTTTTCTAAGAGCTGTATAGTATTCCATTGTGTAGCTGTACCATAGTTTCTTTAACGAGTCATTTGTTCTCGGGCACTCAGGTTGTTTCCAGATTCTGGTTTGTGTGAACAGTGCTGTATTGAACATATAAGTACATATGTCATTTCTGTTGTGTATTTTTGCACCCCAGGAGTATATTGCCCCCCAGGAGTATATTGCACCCCAGGAGTAAATAGAAGTGCTATTTCTGAGTCATATGGAAGTTCAATTTCTAGTTTTTTGAGGAATGACCATATTATTTTCCAAAAAGGTTGGACAAGTTGGCATTCCCACCAATAATAATGAGAGTTCCTTTCTCCCTATATCCATGCCAGCACTGGTTGTTCTTATTCTTTTTTATGTATGCCAGTCTCTGTGGTATAAGGTGATGTCTCATTGTTGATTTGATTAACAATGCCCTGATGACTAGCGATGTAGAGCATTTTTTCATGTGCCTTTTGGCCATTTGTATTTCTTCTTTGATTTCTTTTCCTCATTTTTTGATGGGGTTGGGGAATATTTTTGTTTTAAAGTTCTACCAGTGCCTTTTATGTCTTGGATATTAACCCCTTATCTGATGAGTATTGGGTAACTAATTTTCCCATTCCATGTCTCTGTATCTTGGTCTCCTTTTCTTTTGAGGTGCAGAATTATTTTGGAAAGTCTGCTACTTTTTGTTAGTGAGAGATCCAAGTTTTAAATAGAATTGCCGAACAGAAACAATTATTGATTTGCTCTCTGTGGAGCCACAGAACCTTGCACATAGTAGTATCCAAGTATCAGTTTCATGAATGAATGTGTCAGTTTCTCTTAAGACTTTTTTAAAATCTGGTATAATCCTTTTAAGTTTTTATCTCAGTTTCTTTTTTGGAATAATGAGTATGAATAATCATGCCCATACTTATGGCTATTTTCACAAGTCCAAATAGAAATTGGAAAAAAAAATTTCCCTAAGATAATACAAATGTACTGTCAAACACTATCCCTCCGTTGTTCATCTATTTGCTCGAGCAGGCCCAGTAACGTCTCCATTTTGAGACTTGTTGTTACTGTGTTTGGCATATTGAATACGTCATGGGTAGCTTACCAGGCTTTGTCGTGCAGGCAAGATACTCTAGGTAGCTTGCCAGGCTCTCAGCGAGGAGCGAAGGAATCGAACCTGGCTTGGCCAGGCTGGCTGCATGCAAGGCAAATACCCTACCGCTGTGCTATCGCTCCAGCCCTACACGTGTACTGAAGTGGCAGAATGATATGGGTGGTAGAAGAGAGAGTGTTGTTTTTATTTTTTCTGTAAACTTTCTATAACGTGTTTATATTTGTTTCATAATTTAAAACACTTAACAAAATATATCAACCAACAAAAAAAGCTCGTCCAGTATTGAAATGTTTGTGAATATTAAAAGGCCATGTGGGGAGAGTAAAGGACCTGATTCTATTTCTTTTTATCCCACCTTTTAAGAACTCATTTGCCCGGACAGTATAAACTAATGACTTGGTGGTTTCCCCTGGAGTATTCTGTATTATTCACCTCCGACATTTTTAAGGAGCTGTTCATTAACTGGGTTCACCAGCTGCTGGCATCTCAAGATATGAGCTTCTTGTAGGAATGAATCAACTGAATCCCTACGTAAAACTTGGGATACATGACACTGAGGGGACAAGAAGAAGGTGGGGGGTAGGTAGGAAGAAGGTGGGAGGATAGTTCTGCCAGTGGAATTTACACTGTATTCTTTTTTCCTGAGTTCCAGAAAGTTCAAAATTACAAACCACCGGTCGCAAGCAGTCAGTCTCAAGGAGCCTGAAACACCTATTCCATTCCTCAAACAAGTTTGTTAAGACCTTAAAACGGTGGGTCCTGTTATTTTTCCAGCAAGTCTGATCTTCTGAGGAATCAGATGGATTTGGTTCTGAGTAGAAACTGGGTGGAAATGTCTTTCTCTGCTATTAAAAAAAAGATATGAACTGTACTGCAAATCATAATTCCCAAAAGTAGAGATAGAGTAATGGAGAAATTATCTGCCATGAAGGCAGGGGGAGAGTTAGGAAGGGGGTGGGGGATACTGGGGACTTTGGTGGTGGAAAATGTGCACTGGTGGAGGGATGGGTATTTGATCATTGTATGACTAAAACTCAAACATAAAAGCTTTGTAAGTGTTGCTCACAGTGATTCAATTTAAAAAAAAAAAAAGAAAAAGGGTAAGAAGTTTACTTCTATTCCTGAAAACTGGGGCAAGAGAATAATTTCTCTAACTTCTAGCCAGTGAACTTGTGATATTTAGCACTACTATGTCCAAAGGTATATTTTAAAGTATCTTTTATTTTGTTCAAGTATATTTTCCTCCATGATTCAGGTTGGGTAGAAGAGGCCATTGAGGATACATTTCTCTTTTTCTTTTTTCTTTTTTAGGGGGCTCTACATAGCCATTATATTTTATTACAAAGACAATATGCTAGTCACCAATGAAGATCAAATACCAATTGTTGAAATAGATGACTCTCACACCAGTTCCATAACACAAGATTTTCTGTGGTTCACAAAGGTATACTAAGTTCTGATTTCATCCCCCCCCCCAACTTTGTGCCAATGTTACTACACATAAATCTCTGAAAACTTAGTTGAGGGGTCTCTAATGATCAAAGTTTTGGGGTAGGCATAAATTAACTGAAAGGTCTTTTTCAGCCCTGATATGACCTATGCCATAAAAATTACCAAAGTAGCATCTACACTACATTTTCAAAGCAAAGACGCTTGCATCCTGTCAGATTGTGTCTCCACTATTCTGAATTATGGGATCATTTGGCAAAGACTAAAATGTGGATCTGACTGTTTCATTAACATTCAGATCTTTTTCCAATTGGACAGAGATCAAAAAGTTGTTTCACATGTATCTGAAAATGGACTGGAGAACAAACATCAGGGGTCAGGTTTCCTTCTCCCTGCTTTCCTTTGATGCCACAAGTAAATCATGTTCTGGCTTGGACGATGATATGACCTCGTGTCTTCTTTTGCAGCTGTCTTGTATGTGGGAAGATATAAGGTGGTTGAGGCAAAGTGTACCCATCTCCATGTCCTCGTCCACAGTCCTCCAAACTCGGCAGAAGATGCTCGCAGCAACAGCCCAGCTACAGGTGAGGGGCCAGATTTCAACACAGACCTTCAGGGGAATCTCAGAAAAGCTTGGTCAGTTCTGTTTTCAGTTAAACCTGAGAAGGAGGATAAAGATGGGCAGCTTCTTTCTTGAGATACCTAAGGATATAGAGGTTTCTTGAACATTTGAGCTTCACAGCTGCTCACTTAAGGGGCCTGTGCTTTGGGGGTAGGAGGAGGGTCTCCTGATAAGGGTCTCCTGGAGAAGGAACAGTGTCTCTCTTACAGAATCTAGGACTGAACTAATAGTAAAATAAAAATTATTCTAGAACTGATATCAGTCAACTCATTTCATGTGAAACATCCTTGTTGCCCTGGCATCCCATATACTTGTGGGTATATGGAAATGGAAAAAGCCCCACAGACACTTTGAGAAGTTTCTTAAATTTTTGCTTTCAGAAAAACACAGGAAATTCTAATACTTTTTTTTTGCTTACTTTGAAAACTTAAAATCTTACCTTTAATCTTAAATTGGATCAGGGTCCTAAACCATATAGGAAGCCATAGAGATAGATTACTGGGCTTATTCTAGAAAAAAGAAAAAAAATTGAGAATAGATTTTTTTTTCTCTCTTTTAAGCACCGGGAACATTAAATTCTGACTAAACTTTTCTGAGTTTTCCATTCATTGTTTTCTAGTATTACCTGAATTTACAGGTAATTCTAAACTACATAGAATTGGGATCTCCAAGACCACTTCGTTGATGGATATCTATCTACAAAGCTGTCAGTTACAGAAAAACCAAAAATGCACATAACATGACACTAAACTATGTCAGTCAGGTCATACCAGTCACAAAAATAAAGTCATAAAAGCACATTGTCATAACAATACTTTGGCTCCACCTCTATCTACAATTGCAAGAATGTCACTTCTTGACCCATACAATTACAATTCAACTTCCCACAGCAATAATTGCTTTCCTATTATAATTCATTCTAAAAGGTAACTCTTACTTTTTCCATCCTATGCTCCACTATACTACACTGCAGAGGCTTTTACTGCTTGTTGTCCTCATTATCTTCCAAGATTTTAGCAAACAGTACTTCCCATTTCAGTAATTTCTCAGTTACAGAGTCTTCCCCTTAAACTCAAGGAGAAATTCTTGGACATGGGCCATGATGACTGTGCTGAATCCAAAGCACCCCTTCCTTTCATTACTGACCAGCTTGAGTTAGGTCAAGCTGCAGTACCTCAACTATATTTTCTTTAGGATAAAGTTCATTTCCAGGAGGCTTTCTTAATTTCAAATGGGACTCTTTATTGTGTCTTTGTTGGAGACTCCCTAGAACACATTCGTCTACTATACAGTAGTATGAAAAGTAGCAACCTGACATAAATCATTACAGTTAGATGCTCAGGGCTTAAGGAAACCTTAAAATTAAATAGACTGCTTCTCAAATATTCCTACTGCAGCAACTTTTCGATTTCCTTGATCAGTGATGTATTGACCTCACCACTTTTTATAGAACTTAGTTTCCTTTATCCATCACAATTACTCCCTAGAAAATATTAGAAATTTCTGGGCACTCTCTTCCTCTATATTATTTGTTTAGAAAAAAATACCAAGACTGAATGAATTTAACACAGGAGTACTTTCACATTGCTACAAAAATCACAAAAGAGGTTGACTGGGATTATGTTAAATTTATGACTATGGTTCTCACATAATGTTGCCTAGTGGTCCCATTTCATTTCTCTGCTATATTCACCTTCTGTTTCCCAAAGTCTGGACTGATCTGGGAGGATAGGGTAGTACCTATGGGTATAATTTAGGGGGATACTTTGTTTAAAGAACGTAGGTTTCCAGGGTGAAGAAGGGTGAAGAAGCACTGAATAACTTTCATTCTCAAAGGGGGACAGTAAGAAAGATAAGTTCAGGACCCACTGTAAGATATCTAGAGAAGGTCATTTCATTCTCTCTCTTCTCCTTTCCCTCCCCCATACTCTCAACCCCCATATTCAGATGGCATAATTGCAAAATTCATTTCAAAAATAAAAAAGAATTTACAATTTCTCCACCACCAAATTTCAAACATGTACTCCACCTACTTTTTCTTCCTTCCAACAGATGGTCTTACTCTTCCCCACAAAGCTTTCTCCCTTCACATGTGCTTTGCAACACATATGTGAAGGGATTCTCTCCTTCTTTTAATATTCTCAAGTCTAGCCAGTGCAGCCTTTCATCAAATACCTTCCTCCATCTCACAGCCCTCTCTACTACCAAACCATCTATCTTCCCTTCTTTCTTCTTTACACCCAGCGTTTTAGAAGAGCTGCCATCATTCTCTTTCTCCATTGACTTTCTCACTTCTCCTCTAGTTCTCAGCCCTCTTCATGTCATTGGCTACCTCACTTCCGTGAGATCTTGTCGCCTTGGGAGTGTTTTTTTTTTCACAGTAGATTCCAGTCAAGAAGCTTTTTTTGGTAAACTACCTGAAGAAATCTTGGGGGGAAGAGGGACCAGAATTCAAATACTTTGTTTTTGGTGAGATTTCCCTTTGCATTCTAAATACTCCCTTTTACTCCAATTCATATATTTATAATTCTGTATTTTCTGCACACACATATGTGGCAGGATCAACACAGCTTCACACGTACAAGATGAACACTCTACCACTGAGCTACATCTATAACCTCTCCAGTGGATGCTTTTTGTTAAGACATTGTGATTTACAATGTTGTTAATGTTTAAGAAATACAGTGTTAATTACCACCAGAGGATTAGATCCCTCCACCAAGATCTCTAGATCCCTTGTCACCTCCTCCCTCACTAAGTGAATTCAGTTCTATAAACTGAATCCCAGGGTTTGATGTCAGTGGCCACTGTTCATTCCTCTACTATGTTTCTTTATACACAGAGAGATCATTTGCTGTGTGTCCTCCCTTCGACTCATTTTGTTCAGCATGATATTCCCCAGCTCCATCCCAGTTGCAATAAACTGCTTTATTTCATCCTCTCTTATAGCTGGGTATTATTTTATTTTGTATATGTACCAATTTCTTAATCCATTCATCTGTTCTTGGGTACTTGGGTTGTTTCACGATTTTGATTAGTGTGAACAAAGAAGTGCAAATGTTTTTCAGAATTAATGTTTCAGTGCTCTAAATTAATGTTTTAGTGATTTAAAAGTAGATGCTAAGAAGTAGAATAGTTGAGTCAGATGGGAGCTCAATTCTAATTCTTTTGAGATATCTCTATAGAATTTTGAAGGAAGGCTGAGTCAGAGAATATTTCATTTTCACCACATCTCCACCAGCATTTGTTTCCAGATATTGTAATATATACCATTCTCACTGATGTAAGGTGATACCTCATTGTCATTTTTATTTGCATTTCCCTGATAATAAATACTCAAGAACACTTTTTCATATACACACTGATCATCTATACATCTTCTTTGAGTAAGAGTCTGTTCAGTTGCTCTCTCCAATTTTTGATGCAGTTTTGTTTTTGCTTTATTGTTACATTTTGTGAGTGCTTTATAAATCTTGGATATTTGTCCTTTGTCAGGTGTGAGGAGCAATATTTCCTCCCATTCAGTAGGAACTCTTTATTTTCTAATTAGCAGTCCTTTCATAGTGAAGAAATTTTTTAATTTGATGTCCCAGTTGTTTATTTTTGCTCTTTTTTCTTTGCCAGTGGCATCAAATCATTAAAATCACCTTTGAAGTCAATATCAATTAAGAGTTATACTTAACCTTCTTCAATGTATTTTATGGATTCAGGTCTAATATAGTCAGGTCTTTACTCCATTTTTAATTAAGTTTGTGTATGGTGTGAGATTGATGTCCACACTTTTTTCTGTCTATTTGGTTTTGGTTTGGGGGCACACTGACTCTTCTCAGGGATTACTCCTGGCTTTGCACTCAGGGATCACTCCTGGGGGCTCAGGGGACCATAGACAGAGGATTGAACCTGGGTTGGCTGCATTATCTGCACCAAATTCTTTTGGGGGTCATATGACTAAGCAGTGTTCCGAGCACCATTTATTGAAGAGCTCTTCCTAGTTCCATTTCATTAACCCAGTTCATTTTTAAGTTAGGTGGTCTTTTATCTGAGCGTTTGTCTCTGGGCTCTCAATTCTGTTCCTTGAGTGGGCACTTTTAAATGCTATTTACAGCAAACACTTCAGCATTGTTTGATAAACTTGATCCAGTTCTCATCTTTTAAAATCATGCATGCTTTGCCTTCCATGACTCCATACTTCCCAGACTGTTTTCTGATTTCTAGGCCTGTATTTCTCAGATTCCCTTGCTTGTTCACATGCTATTTCTCTTTCTGCCTAGACTCTCTCTACTTCTTTTCTTGCCGATTCCTAAATATGCTTCAGGTCTAAGTTTAATGTTTATACTTCTCATGGAGTCTTTCTCTCATATCCTAAGCAATGATTTTCTTATAAATTAGTACTTTTCACATCTTGTATTCTTCATACAGATTGTTGATCACTATCCCATTCGTCAGTTATTTGTGTCATTATTTATTTATTGGCTTGCTTGGACAGTGAGTCTCTGAGCTTAGGGGAACATGTCTGCCTTCATTTTGTTATTTTCCCCATACTAGGCATATGAAAACCCTTGGAAAGTACTAGATGAGCAAATAAACATAGTTATTCAACCCCAGAATTCACACTTGAGAATATTCTATTTAACCAAAGAGAAAAAGTACCACATAAATGCATTTTTGATAATTCCCAGTAGCCTTGAAAAGTGACCATTCTCCTAGTACTTGCTAGTCACCTCTTACGGTGCCCCTCAAAGACCAAAGCACTCTGATGAATTTTTTTCTTTCTCTACATTATTATTGATCAGCTTCAATAATAGGAGTCTCATTCATCATTTTAGTGGGACTTATTGCCCAAAATATTTGCTCACCTAGACAACAAAAAGTCTAGGAATATTGAACATACTCATTTTTTGAGGACTAGGATAAAGGAAAGATAATATACAGAAAAAATTCAGAAAAGCTAATTTCATAATCCATATTTTATATCTCTTGACTAATGTAGCATGTTTTACATCTCCTTATTAATCTCACTGTGTTCTGATAAACACATTTTCAGTGCCCAGAAAGTGAAAATACATTCTAAGTATGTGACTGACATCAGCCATGCTGATCTGCCTCTGTCATATCTTACGTTTCTCCTCCTCTTTGCAGCCTAACTGCCAGCACCCAAAGACTTGACACATATACATATATAAAACTTCCAAAGGCATCTTTCTGCTCCAGTCCTCACACCTCTGATCCTTTCTCCACACTTCTGCCAGAGTAGTCAGACTAAGATTCTGACCATGTCATTCTCTGTGGTCTAGAGACTTTTGAGAGTGGTCTAGAAACTTCTCCATGGCATATTAAGGTTTCAACTTTATCTTTCTCTCCATGTTCTGTTTCCTATGAAGAGCTGAGACCTTCACCAGGGTGCATCCTATTCCTCGTTTCTGCTCCATCATAGGGTACTTTATTACATAATAACAACTAGAAATTGTAGAATGACCGTCTTTGTTTATTTCACTGAATGGGTCCCAAATAGTATGCTTTCTGTTTTACAAAATGTATCTCATATGCTCCTCATGAAACCTAATGAGAAGATACTATTTAGGTATTCTATTGCCAGATTAAAACTGAGGCCAAGAATGGTTAAATAACTTGTCCAATAGGAATACAAATAGGGAGAAGGATCTTAATTCAAATCCATCTCAAATTAACAGTGATCTATAGTTTTTCCTCATCTTCTTGTCTGTTTATTTACAGAACTCAGACACAAATTTCAAATGAAAGAAAGTATTGTATTCACACTACAATTTTCAAATAAAAGGAAAAAGTCAGTTTTGTATCATTTGAAAGTGGCCTTAAATTTCACTTAGTAGAAAGTAAATATTAATTGACAGATATCAATCGTTAATTTATGTAAATATTATTCAGTAATGTTAATCAGTTGGTTTATAATATTAATTTATAACATTTATTAATTTTAGTGATAATTTTATATTAATATTAGTAATAATATGGGTGTTAGAAATAATTTATTAATTAATATTATCAAAGCAGGAAAAAGACAAATATTTGAATAAGAAAGTTAAGATGAGAAAGTATTTAAATAGGAAAGACCCCATATTGGTTTTTATAAAAAGGCCCTCCCGTTGATCATCGATTTGCTCGAGCGGGCCCAGTAACGTCTCCATTGGAGACTTTGTTGTTACTGTGTCTGGCATATCCAATACTCTCGGTAGCTTGCCGGGCTCTCCGAGAGGGGCGGAGGAATCGAACTTGGGTCGGCCATGTTGGCTGCGTGCAAGGCAGATGCCCTACCCACTGTGCTATCACTCCAGCCACTAAGGTAAAGGCCCTCCCGTTGATCGTCGATTTGCTCGAGCGGGCCCAGTAACGTCTCCATTGGAGACTTTGTTGTTACTGTGTTTGGCATATCGAATACTCTCGGTAGCTTGCCGGGCTCTCCGAGAGGGGCGGAGGAATCGAACTCGGGTCGGCCATGTTGGCCGCTTGTAAGGCGAACGCCCTACCGCTGTGCTATCGCTCCAGGAAAATGACAGAGGCCTAAAAAGGAGAAGTTTTGCTCACCTGCAAAAGCACAATATTAATTCATTATTCTTATATTGACAGGTGTCTAAGCTATTTACCCTCAAAATTCAGTAATATTCGATAGTGTAGACTGGGCTGCATTAAAAACTTTCCTCCACAATACATTTTAGAAATTACTATTAGAAGCAGAGATAATGCAGAAGTTATGGTGTTTGCCTTGCACACAGGCTACCCCTGTTCTATCCTTGGTACACTGTATAATACCCTAAGTACTGCCAGTAGTAATCCCTGAACACAGAGACAGGAGTAAGCCCTGAGCACTGCCAGGTGTGACCCAAAAACCTAAAAATAAATAGACTTAGTGAGTAAGTAATTAAAGAGCGTATTGTTTGTAAATACTTTAAGAGTATTTATGAGACGGGACTTCCCCAAATTTTACTCTTCTTTTTCTGTCCTTACTAGCTCTTCCCTCAACTTCCTGCAATGTGTTGGAGCACTCCAAAATAAATAAAGATCTCTAAATATTGTATCCATTTAGGGCATATGAACATTCCTATGATTTATTCTGATCATAAATTAGATTCTCCCCTATTAATCATCAAGTTGCTTCTATTACTTTTTACCCTGTAGAATCCTCAGAGTTCTCAAAATCTCCAAGCTTTGATTGCACAACATGACAGGGATTCATTAGCCTGGTGTGTTTTGTTTCTTTTTTGCTTTTCCTTTAAAACAGTTAAAGAACCTGAATTCATTGTCCCCACCCCCGTCCCACTTGGTGCATAGTAGCAATTTATCTTTTCAAAATATTCAACTGTGAAAATTGGGTCTATTTTATGTCAATGAAGCTTTCAGGAAAACTTTAATATTTTCTTGTTTAGCTCATTAGTCAGCATATTGATGATCAACCAGTTACTAGAAACTCTACAATAACGAGGTTTAGATGAAATGATCATCCCACTTGACTATCTCCCAACTTGGATCCAAAGTTAATCATAGTTTTCAGTATCTTAGTGATAATAGCAATAGCACAGCAGTAGGATGTTTGCCTTGCACACAGACAGCCCGGCCGAGCCGGGTTCGATTTCTCCACCCCTCTTGGAGAGCCCAGCAAGCTACCGAGAATATTTCGCCCGCACGGCAAAGCCTGTGTATTCAATATGCCAAACACTGTAACAACAATTTTCACAATGAAACTTGGGCCCACTCGAGCAAATCGATGAACAACAGGAAGACAGTGACAGTGATAATATTAATTTGTTCTGTAAGTTATTGAGCATAATATTTATATATTTATATATTATGTGCAAGGAAACCAGGGGCATAGAAATAAAATAATCACTCTCTCATTACATGTCCAACAATATATGCAGGAATACCAGAGTCATTCTGAGATAGAAGTTTGCAAATAAAGCAGTAAGGAACAAAAGAATAGTAAATTTTATCAAAGATAATTGGTAAAGTCTTCCCACAGAAAGATGAAACCTAGGCTGAATCTTGAATATGTGTGAGTCAGGATGAGATTCTGATTTCAACAGTAATGAAAACCCAGACCCTCAATCCTCACTCTATGAGACTAAGATTAAACTAAAATTAAACTAAGAGATTAAGATTAAGCTAATTGAACTCTGAAGGACCCTTAATTTTACATAATGGAACTCGGGGTCATGAGGATAAATAATTTTTCAGAAATCTAAGAGTTAGTGAATAGCAACTAGCGGTTGGTGTGAAATATACACCAACATAAGTATAGGCTTAAAAGCAGTAGAGTATTGGAACCCAGTGTACTAACTAAGAAGTTCCAACTGGTACATATTCAGGAATTTGGAAAGCCTGTTGTCAAATCCTTGGTAGTTTGAAACAGGCTATGGTGGAAGTGTTTACACTACAGAAATTGGCATATGCTATAAATAAGGTTTTTTAAATTTTTTTAAATTTGCAGTTTGCCAGAAAGCTACTGCTTATTTGGCCAGTATTTCTTTGCAGAAAACTGTCTCTATAAAACTCTCATTTTATAGTACTACAAAGGGCTGGGCTAAGACTTCCACCAATGATTTCTCTTTGATTTAGAAGTGAGTTTTTGAAAAGGAATGTTCTGAATAATATAGGTCATTGAATCACTGCAGCCTGCCAAATAGTAGTGGCAGTCCTGCCAAATGAATTATAATAATATGTCAAATACTTTTTGATGAAATTTCTTACTTATGTGTCTAATTCCTGTGAAGAAAAATTGAAGACTTTTCATGATCTTCTGTAGATATTCATTGACCCATATATTTCTATGTCATCCTTGTCATTTCCATAAATTCAGTTAAACTTTCGCTCTCCTGCTAAAAGGTTATCATCATAATTTATGTGATCTCACAAAAGTAACAGCGCAGAGATTATTTATACTTGAAAAAATCAAAGATACTGAAAATAAATGGGTATTTTGTTCTATTAGTCCAGTACTCTAAGTTAGAAATCATCAAAACTGCCTGCATATTTGCAAAATGTCTGTCAGGGTCCTACACATTTAATGTTGCATCCCTTCTTTTCCTCCCCTTTCTAAAAGTATTGTTGCCTCAATTGGCCTAGTTTACAAACAATTTTAACAAAATAATTAATAGGATCTCCTAAAATGTACCTAAGTCAAACCAGGCCAATCTCCCAATTAAAATATCTTGAAGGGAACATGCAGTCATTTGGAGACCTGTACAAAGTGCTACATTGTCAATTCACTTCTTCCATTTTATACAACCCCACTTCATACCAGCTTACTGTAGATCTCTTGAAAAACTCCACAAATAGCATACTTGAAATATCAGGCATTTTTCTTTAAAACATCTGGGATTCTCTTCAAGTGCTGGTAACTGAGGTTTATGTGCTTGTGTTTCTGTGTGGGAGAGGGATATTTACAGATATTGCATTTGCTTTTAAAAAAACGTTATTTTTGTGCCTCTTGCTATAATCTTTGTAAGCTTATGGTGGAGATTTTTTTTGAGCTTCTGTTAAACCACATATTCTAGGTTTAAATCTGATTTTAAAAGAAATAAAAAGTCTTCTCAGAAACACCCAATAACTATTCGTGGTTGGGTTGCTTTGTTTGCCATTTAAGCTACCAAAAATCTTTTGTTTCTAGAATTTACTTGGAACACACAACTTGGGAAGAGTTTACTATGAACCCATTAAGGACCGGCATGGAAACATCCTCATAGTTACCATCAGAGAGGTAGAGATGCTCTATTCATTTTTTAATGGCAAGTGGATGCAGATTTCAAAACTGCAAAGCCAAAGAAAGTCTCTGTCAACCCCAGAGGAGCCTACAGCTTTAGACATTTTACTGATAACCATCCAGGTATGTAGTCTCTTTCATTTCCTAATATACTTAAAGCCCAAGCATGCTTATTGAGTCTCAAGTGAAATAAAGAGCCATTTACACAAGCAGTGATGGAGGAGAGAGAGAGAGAGAGAGAGAGAGAGAGAGAGAGAGAGCAAAGACATTGATCATTGCAAACATTCCACACGGTCACTGTCACTGTCCTCCCATTGTTCATCAATTTGCTCAAGCAGGCCCAGTAACATCTCCATAGTGAGACTTGTTGTTATTGTGTTTGGCATATCGAATACATCATGAGTAGCTTGTTAGGCTTTGCCGTGCGGGCGAGATACTCTCAGTAGCTTGCCGGGCTCTCCAAGAGGAGCGAAGGAATTGAACTTGCGTCGGCCATGTGGACCGCGTGCAAGGCAAATGCCCTACCTGCTGTGCTCCAGCTCACACATAGAGAATATTTAGAAACTAATTTTTATTTCTCACTCTAAGATCTAGAATTCATCAAGGAGTAGGCATTCGAAAATTCACTGGCTAAGAAACCAATGAGAAACACGGAGAAGACTGTTTGAGTGAGGCTTTATAGATAGTATGATCAAAACATTAAACCAAGACTTGAATGGACCATAATAATAAATTTCTATACTCTATATATGCTTATATGTGTGTGTAAAGCACTTTGAACAAACTTCTTACACATACTTTTAAGACTTACTTTTATTGAAGTAACTTCTCATTATATAGCATTATATAAGTTTCATGTGTGCATCATTGGCATCTATTTATTCTTGCTTGTCCTTCACAATACTCCCTTGGGATATATTGGCATGATTAAATCCATTTTAGGAATGAAATGACTTAGGTTCAAAGATATAAAGTGACATATGGCCACACACAGAGGCAGATTTGGTGAAGCTAATGAAACCTTAGCATTATTCAGATCTTCATTTGCACAAGCCCTTCCAAGGTCCTTTGACATTTTTACATTCATAATTTTGTGTTCTCTTTTTCAATAAAGGCCCCCAAATTACACTAAGTTCAGGACCCACCAATCTTCAGCAGATAACTAAAAAGCGACAGAACTAAAATGTGGACACAGATTTTCTGATTGAAGATTTTAGTGAGTAAAAACATAAAATTTATGGGTGAAAGGCTTTCTTAAAAACCAGTCATCCATATTCAAAACTCAAGCAACTTAGATCCAGACTCAACCAAGATGCTACAACTGGGATATATCCCATATCTTCCTCTGAGCCCAGCACCATTCCCTCATTTTTTATATATTAACATAGGTTTCAAACCATTTTTGTCTTTTCCCTTTTCCTTTTCTTTTTAAAACAATGATAAGTATGTGTTCATAGTATTCTCCAGTTTTGTGGAAAGCTCACAGAACTATCTATCTTGAGCTCTCTGCAACCAATGGCATAATCACCAGATAGCCAATCCAAGGAAATGGAAAAGGAAGAAAACAGTACCATCTAAACAAGTCAGATCCAAGTTTGACCCAGTATACCCTCAAATCACCCTTAAAACCTAGGATATCTAACTTCTTTTCATTGTCCACTAAGGGGTAGCTCAATAACCTCACCCTTCCATTGTGTGCACTTTCTGTAACCAGAACAAAATTCAATGTAGCAATGATAAGCTAATTGGTCAAAGCCAATACTTCTGGATTTGATTTTCTGGAATTTGGATTCATATGAAATTGATAAGGGTGTGTGTGTGTGTGTGTGTGTGTGTGTGTGTGTGTGTGTGTGTGTGTGTGTAGGCCAGGAACAGACACATTTGTGGTTCTCCCTTCACCTTTTATAAGCAAGTGCTAAAAGAAATATTTGAAAATCATAATAAATTGAGCTTTTACAGGGTGACTAATACACTAATCCCCTATAGGGATAAACTTGGGCCTGAGCTACCTTTCCTCCTAGAAACACAGCACAGCCCCCAGCATGATATAATGCCTAGTTTCTCCTAGACTTATTACATTAAAAATGTGTTACAGGTGCAGAAAAAATTCCAATCTGGCGAAAGGTTGTTAGAGAAGGAAACCAAAAATAGAGGCAAGATCAGGTTTCCACACAGATCCAAGTGGAAAATTTACCCCCGCTGACTGGCACATTCCTGCCTGATGTCATTCCTACCCACCCCCACCCACTCTCCCTTATCCTTCCCCACCTGATTCTTTCTTCCCTCCTTTCCATACAATTCTTCCAGTGGAAAGGGAATGGGGAGTAAAACTACGAGGTGTCCAAACATTCCTAGACTTAAGTCACAAGTTGGCTCCACCAACTCAATATGAAAATAGAGATAAGTCTCGGTGGTTGCCCAAAGCAGCAGTGTAATTCCCACAATTCAAGGCTACAAACCACTGACTGTTCTCAGGGTCAGTAAAGTGATGACAAGCAGGCTTTCTGGAAACCGGGGTTTCCCAACTCACTCTTGTCTCATAGCACGCCTTTTCACCTAAAAGACCCAAGGACTCTTTCTTACACTTGAGATGCCCACAAACTACAGCCTTTTCTAAAGTTTTCTGAGTTTTGCCACCTCTTTCTGTCTCCAAGCAGTATTAATGTGGAGTTCAAAAACTAAAGGGATAGGGAAAGCAAATGGAAATCAGTTTAATTTCCAACTGGGCTAGTCATACGAAAAAAATAGGTTCACACAAAATCTTTGTTCATCAATAATCATAACATAATTATTAATAATAGTCAAGGAATAAAAAAGACTTTAGTGTTCAAAAAATTAATAAAATGTATTAATTTCCATATGATAGGACAGGATCATGCAGACATCAAAATAAATGAAACGTTTACTCATACTATAACAGGACAAACCTTGAAAACATGATGCAAAATGAAATTAACTAGACACAAAATACCAATATTATATGATTCTGTTTATATTAAATATCCAAAGTAAGCAAATCCATAGACAGAAAGTAGATGAATGGTTCCAGGAACAGCGGAAGGAGAAGTTGGTGAATAATAGCTAATGAGCAGAAGTTATAGTAATCTAAAGTGGAGCCAATTTTAAAAAGAAGTTGAAAATCCAGAGTACGGAGTAAAAATCATATTATTTTTAAATATTAGCAGATAATTCATAAAATTTAATTCATCACAGTTCGTATAATCTAGGGCCCACATAAACCACTGACAGTTTTATGATCTCTCCTATCCCTGGACAATTTCCATTCTCTGTCCAACAAAGCAAAAAAACCTGCAGTTATTGAAAAAGCAATTATCGTTTCCTTAACAAGCTCCTAAGATACCCAACTAGTCAAGAGTAGTCTGATAGTCTCCTCATCACTGCATGAGCTCAGCACATTTTCCCCAGCGGCCTAGCCTGAGACCCCTCTACTTTCCAGCCTCTCATTTCATATTTCATAAACATTATTTCAGCACTGTCTAGGTGCCAGGAACTCTTCTAGGTGCTATAAGGAAAAACAAATGAATAAGTCAAGATCCCTGCTCTCAAGGAGTTCAGTAAAGGGAGGTAGACAGACTTGTAAACAAATCAAGGTAAAATACAAGGCAGAATTAAACCAGAGCCTGATAGAAGTACAAACAGTGTACTATGGGAACATAGACAAAGCAGCTATTAATTCTACCTAGAAACATCAGGGAAGGCATTGTAGAAGAGGTGACATTTGGCTGAGCCATGAAGGGTAAGTTAAGTTCACCAGAGGAGGGGGGTGGGGACGAAGGGAGGGAAGAAGGAAAGAAAGGAGGGAGAGAGGGAGAAAAATAGAAGAAGAGGAAAATAGAGGGAGAGGGAGGAAGGAAGGGAGGGAGGGAGGGAGGGAGAGATAGACAGAGGGAGGGAGGAAATTGGTCATTAACTGCAGAAAATTTAATAGTAGCATGGTAAAGAAATGAGACAGAAACTGGAAAAATAGATCTCTCCTTCCTTTGGGTCAACAATGAATCTTACACAACATTTCTTGTGCCCTTTATCACATTATTTAATAATATCATGCTTCTCTGTACCCTAGTGTGAAGTTCCATGAAAGGAAGATCATGTCTAATTCATGTTGAGGCCATTAATATCACAATGCTGGATTCATAAACAGATGTTCAAATAAAGTTGGTGGAATGAGCAAATCTATAAATCAGTCAAAATGAAAATCAACAAAAGATTAGGTTATGTGTGGGAAAATAAAAAGCTATGCATTTTGATTGGAGATAAATGCAGAAGGGCTGTTGTGGAAGAGGGGCTAGAAATGTGGGCTAGAGGTAAATGAAACAATATACAAACCCAGAGGCATTTGATCTGGTCTAGGAGGCCTTTCTAATTCTCAGATTTTGTTACTGAGACAGCTTTATTCTCTTACCATGGATTTCTCCGGCTCCAAAAACATTCTGACTAATAGAGAATAAATGACTACGTGAAAGCAAGAAAACACAGAGTAGAGATGCTCGGTAATAATTTATTTTTTAATTTAATGAAAAAGTAAATTACTCCATCCCAGAATGGTGTTGGTTTTTACATAACCACAGTATGTTCCTAACACATTCTATTTGTGGTTACTTCTGACCATGACATGTTTTTCTCTTATACTCATACCCATCCTGTATTTGGACTGAATATGGGTCTTTACAAGCACATTCTCTTATTAGGTTTCAACCCTAATTATGATAGGCTTATTTTTCCAATACATAGGGTCATCAGAGCCTCATTGCTATTTTCCAGAAAATCAAACCACACCAAATCTGGGATCCACGAATTTGATACACACATTTATTTCTTTGTCGGAAACATCAATAAATAAACTGAATAGACCAGGCTGGCCCTCAGGACCACTTCCTACTGAGCCATCATTCTTTATGTCTGCAATTCCCACACTCTCTTCATCATCCACAAATCTTCAACCCAGATACTCAGCTTAATAAAGTAATGTGGTCAATAGTCTACTTTTCCCAGGTTTCCTAGTGAAACACTACACTAGAGACTTCTTTCTTTTCAGCCTGAGGGTCCTATTCTTTTGTTGTCAAAAATTAAAGTTGCCTATATCAGCTACCCTTCAAAAAAACATGTTGACTCCTATTTAAGTGCCTCTAGATTTCCTGGGTGAAAAAAAAAAATCATTGATGTTTCTTTGTTGTTTTCTCCTTAGTTCAGCAAGCTGGCAAATTTTAATTACTAGAACTATCCTGTGTTTCTACCTTTCTTGTTTCAAAAATAGGTGTTTTTGCCTTATTCTAATCTTTAGGGAATTACCTAGTTCTCCGTCACTTCTCAAAAATAATGACCTAGATTTAACTATACAGCTTTGTGCCTTAGAATGTGTATCAAATTCTGCTGACGTAAATAGTACTGTAGCACTGTAGCACTGTTGTCCCGTTGTTCGTGGGTTTGCTTGAGTGGGCACCAGTAACATTGTGAGGCTTGTTGTTAGTGTTTTTGGCATATCGAATATGCCAGACTCTGCCATACTGGCGGAATACTCTTGGTAGTTTGCCAGGCTCTCCGAGAGGGATGGAGGAATCAAACACAGGTGGGCCGCGTGCAAGGCAAATGCCCTACTCGCTGTGCTATCGCTCTAGCCCGCTGACATAAATATTTACAATTTTTCCTCTTACGAATCATTCTTTCTCTTTAATTACCTGTTTGTTTATCCAAGTTCCACCTTAATTGAACTTTCTCCATCTACTAATCATCTATGATCAATTCTAGAGAAATAGAAGACATTGAAACATTCAGCCTTGTCAATACCCTGATATTACTAACAATTCCTTCCTTCTTGATCATGAAAAGAAGTATTTCAGATCTGCTTTTTTGGTCAAGTATCTTAAAATTTCATTAACATTTTTTCCTGTAAGTCTAGTTTATTCTTCCTCCTGGTTGTGACCATTCTTATTCCTCCCTCTTCTGCTGTTCTCATGTATTTGTTTTAGAGCCCTAGTCTGATTTCCACATGTAAGGGATTGGGGAGGTGGGGGCAACTATTACATTGGGATAGAGATTATAGGCAGAAATGGCACACGGGACTAAACATACAAAGCAATACAATTTTTAAAAACTTTTCAGGTCCTTGGGTCCTGAGAGGAAGTACAAAGTTTAAGGCACTTGCCCTGCATGTGGCAGGCCCTGAATCCCAGGGACCACGTATGGTTCCTTGAGCACTCCAGATGCCACTCCTGATCCCAGATCCAGGAATAGCCCCTGAGCATGGCCAGGTGTCACCCAAAACCCTCCAAAACAAAGCAAAAAAAAAAATCAGCCCCACCATTAATTACTAGTCTAGTTCAAGAGAACATCAATTAAAAGATAAGTTAAAGTAGTCCTTGTTCTGTTACATAAAACTGTTTCAGTATAATGAAATTACTTGTTTACCTGTATCTTCCTTGACCCTTTCAAATGCAAGAATGTTCACCTGAATCCAGAATTTCTCCTTGAGTGGCTGACTCAGTGTGTTTTATAAAGAGTGGGCAAGAACACAAAAGCAAGAACTAGATGTAGCAGATCGTTAATGGTCTAGTGGTCAAGGAAGGGCTCATTCCTTTCTGATGCAAATAGAATACTGTACATGTTTTTTTTTCTTTCTTTCTTTTCCTTCCTTTCATTTTACTGTAGGTTTACACTGAGCCCCTATTTTTCCTACTCTGAAAATCAGGCTAAACTTTGACCTACAGGAAATCTTTCTTTGTAATAAAATCAGGTTTCTGAATAGTTACTCTTAACTCCGTATTGTTAGTCCCATGCTCCCCAAATGTTTAAAGAGCATAAAATCAAGGTCTGTATCTCAGTTTCCTTATAGCAAAAATCACATCCCCCAAATTCTATAATCTGAGGGAAAAAATTAATAAAACAGACTGGTATAGATATAGGGGGAGGTAAGTATCTTTATTTTCAATTAATTATTATCCCAGTCCCTGAAGTCCTATAGAAAAATAAAAATTGACTAAATGAGTAGTCCACTAGAGAACTGACAACATCCAAAAACAAGACCCAGTCCAATATTTCTCTGTGACTAACGAAGCTAGAACTTCTATTGTACATTTTCAATTCATCCCATTTCTATAGCCTGTGGAAGATTTGTGGTTTGACAATATAATTCAATTTTAATGTAAACCTTTTATGGGGTCATTTTTAAAACCTGTATAAATATACAAAAATTTTATGAGAATGATGAAGATGATATGGAAATCTAATCAAATCACCTGCAAAGGTATAGGCAATTGAGAATCTAACAGTAGTAGACAGTTAACTGAAGAATACAAGATGAAAAAAAATTTTTATGAGCAAATAATTTGGATATAAAAAGATGTCGAGAACAAATATATAAATACTTCAAATAGCCTGGCAAGCTCCCCGTGATGTATTCGATATGCTAAACACAGTAACAGTTGTCACAATGGAGACATTACTGGGCCCAATCGAGCAAATCGATGAACAACGGGAGGGCAGTGACAGTGACAGTGACTCTTGTATGGGCTGAAGCGATAGCACAGTGGGTAGGGCGTTTGCCTTGCACGCGGCCGACTTGGTCAGCCCAGGTTCGATTCCTCTGCCCCTCTCGGAGAGCTTGGCAAGCTACCAAAAGTATCTCGCCTGCATGGCAAAAGCCTGGTAAGATACCCGTGAAGTATTCGATATGCCAAACACAGTAACAAGTTTCACAATGGAGATGTTACTGGGCCCGCTTGAGCAAATCGATGAACAACGGGAGGACAGTGCTACAGTGCTACTACTCTTGTATGAATAAAGCTCTTCATCATCACATTATGAAAGTCAAATATGAGGAGTAACATACATTTCAGTCTAAAAGCATAAGCAAAAGAGAAATCAATACTTGAGTCTTTATTCTCAGGACTTATAAAGTATTGTAACTACTATTTATATGTTAACAAATAAATGAATCTATTTCTATTACTTTTGCTTCATTTTCTTTCTTCTTTTTTTTTTCTTTTTGGATCACACCGAGCATTGCTCAGGGTTTACTCCTGGCTCAGCACTCAAGAGTTGCTCCTGAAAAACCTGCCACAGAAGCAGGGTGGGATGGGAGGATGGGGGATGGGAGGGATACTGGGATCTGTGGTGGTGGGAAATGGGCACTGATGGAGGGATGAGTATTTGATCATTGTATAATCGAAACCCAAGCACAAAAATTTTTAAGTCTACAACTGTACCCCACGGTGTCTCACTAATTAAAATAAAATAAAATAAAATACATGCAAAGTTCCTTTCAGCAAAAAAAAAAAAAAGAGTTGCTCCTGGCGGTGCTTGGGGGACAATATGGGATACAGGGGATCGAACCCAGGTTTGGCCACGTGCAAGGCAAACACACTACCCACTGTACTATCGCTCCGGCCCTGTTTCATTTTCATGATAAAGCATTATTTAGATTTTCCCCTCATTACTAAAAATGTTATAATATTTTAAATGGAGTCAATAAGATATAATTTTTCTGACACTAATTGTTATGAAATAATGAAGCATCCAAACTACTTTTATACTTGCAACTTTCTGATTCTCCCCAGTATATAAAATCCCTCCAAATAGAGAAATTACTGATGAATGCTAATTTTCTCTAGTACCTATTTCAATTCTGGCCCTTTCCCTATCACAATCTCCATCCCTATACTTAGAACATAAATATGAGGAAAATATGCATGCAGAATAAAGTAATGATTGATTTCCTGCCTCTGAGGCTCATTCTTCTGAAGTTAAGTCTAACTGCACCACCACATCTTCAATATTCATTGTGATGTTCAATTCCCTGATTCTTAACTGTATCTCTTTTGACTCATGACATGACCCATCTAATAAAGGCAAAAGTTTGGAGATTGCCTTTTGAGATATTTTTGCTTTTTGTTTTAACCCTACAGGATATTCTCTCCTATCACAAAAGGAGTCATCAGCGTCTCCCTCCTGGACTATATCTGGGTTACTTAAAGCTCTGTAGCTCTGTGGATCAGATCAAAGTTCTTGTTACCCAGAAGTTGCCCAACATTCTCTGCCATGTAAAGATTCGTGAAAACTTTAACATTTCCAAGTAAGTTGTCAGGAACCTGTATTTTTTTGTGATAAAACAACAGCTTCAATAATGAGTTTGATGAACTAGAAGGAAATAGATATGGTACTTCCCAGCATAGTTTCTATGTTGGGATGGTCGCAGGGGCCAGAACAGCAGAGGAGAGGCAGAGGCTGGACTTTAACATTAGGATAATGAGGATTTATGGTATTGACACGGTGGAGAGAATCATGCTATTTATTTTTTTTAAGTTTTATTTTTATTTTTTTAAATTTTTTTTGGGGGGGTCACACCTGGTGATGCACAGGAGTTACTCCTGGTTCATGCACTCAGGAATCACTCCTGCTGGTGCTTGGGGACCATATGGGATACTGGGACTCAAACCCGGCTCTCCCGCGCGCAAGGCAAACACCCTACCCTCTGTGCTATTGCTCCAGCCCTGGGAATCATGCTATTAAAAGGAGGAAGTACTCTTTCACTTTCCTCTATGCATTATTCATGGTGTAGGTAACTTATCTGGTTATTAAATTTATGTCATTACCTTTTTAATCAATATTTCGACTGAGGTAGCCTGATTCACTGCAGTATTTATGTTCATGTTCTGGACTTACAATGTTACTGTAACACTATCAGTGTCCATGGGGCCATTCCTCCACTACTGTCCATAGGACCCTTCTTACCCTCCCCTTATCGCCACCACTCCCTACGCTTGCTGGCTTCCTCAGTTTTGTTGGATGCCATTTCTCTCAACACTAATATTTTCAATAAATTTTTTATAATCTAAAAGAGTCATTTTAATGTCTCTTAGAGGGATGGGTTCTGGTTGAGCAATAGATTTCCCCTTATAATCTTAAAGGACCCCATACCCTTATCCTCCTTCCTCTAACTTTCTGGCCTGAGGACCCCGTATGTTTTCTATACTCTTTATGGTTCTCTAGGGAAGAAAAGAAGTAACAAGGCCTGAGCTTCTGGAAACTACTCTATGGTTTGGCATTATGGTGAATTACTCTGTTAGCTTTGGGAAAGTTGCCCAATCTTGGTAATCTGACTCAGCTTTACAACTAGCTCTCTGAAATTCTACTATAATGAACTGAATTGTGCTCAACATGGGGAAAAAATAAGAAATCGATAAGAAGAAAAGTCTCTTGATTTCATCAGGCTTCAAGGAGCACACACAAATTAGACCCCCAAATTTTAGTTGTACCTATCAATTTGCTTAAACAAAGGAGACTAAATTGGTCATTGGAAATGAGGTCTTTAGAATGGAGAAAATTAATGTTTGACAATGTTTGCCACTTCTTGATGATATAAAGATGATGATGATGATGATGATGATGATGGTGATACTGACGATGATAAAGATGGTGGTATGTAAAAAGAATTTATTGGCTCTCCATCTTATTTCTTTTCCCTTATCAACTATACTTAGGCTTTAAGTCTGCCATCTGGTGGTCACTTCTACAGACAATATTTGTTATCTCTTCAGTCTTCCCAAGGGGTTACAGGACTTATTTGTGGGTTGAGTCAGCGATGGTTACTTTCATTCATTTTCTAGATTTGTGTCTAAAGATTTAAATTATATCTTTAAATGTTTATACCAACGAATTTCCCTTTACCACAGGTCCAAGTTTCATGTTCACAAAAGGTTCCACTAGCCTTTACTCTGCCAGTTTCATCCCCCTCATCTTTATAGACTAAACTGATTAGTGGTAGATATTTCATGGTATTTCTACTGGTAATTTATTTTCTAATTTGATTACAGATGCTATGTTAGTAATGTGGTCCTTTAGGTTTTGTGTATACTTGTGCTAGTCAGAAACCCCTTGTTTTAGTTCAATATTAGTGATGGGGGGGAGAGTTTAGTTCCCAAATAGGTTTGCAAAGATTTCAACTATTTGTTAAGCCAACAGCATGCCCAAATTGAAGCAAATTTTTTAAAGTTATTTTTTTTCTCTTATTGGGACAAAGGGCTAGATTTTTCCATCATGTTTTCCAATGTGGAAATAAAACAAAGATCTTAAAAACAGAAAGTTTGATAGCTGATTTAGAGTGCTTGCTGGTTAAATAATTTTTTAAAGTTCATACCATAGTCAGTTTTGTTTTTTGAACCACAAAGTGGTGCTCAGGTTGGTACGACCCAACGAAGAGAGCCCTGGCCAGGGGTGTGGAGGGTATTTCCCATGAGGGTGGGAATATAGACTAGCACCTCCTGTTTCCCATACCTGGAAAGAACAATTTTCCTTTCCTCTTGAGATAGCCTGATTCCAGAGAGCATACTGCAACTCCCTCCAAGCAGGAAAGAGAAACTATGGCCTATGCCAAGTAATTGTGTTTATAGAGACTGATGCTTAAATACCTTGTGAGGCAGTGTTGCCCTGAAGGCATTTATCCTGATCTTTTCAAGCCCCTTTTGAAGAGCAGCAGCCTTTGGGGGACAAACCAGATGTGCTTTCCCAGCACCACCATCCTTTCTCCCTTCCCTTCAGTGTGACATTTGGAAAAGTTCATTAGGAAGGATTATAGAGTATGCAGAATGAAGACACAGATGACTGGTTCAAAAGGAGGATGGAAGCAGTGATGTGTGTACCCTTGTTCCTTTTATTGGAATTGTCTGGTATTCCTGTTTGTGATTCTCCTCAAGCTTTTGGAAGGAGAAAGAAACCAAAATAGTCCCCACGATTACAACAGGCCAGGGCTGAAATGTGCCATGTGGTTTGTTGCCTGAGTTGGACCAGAGTCCTGTGGTTACCCAACTGCTGAATTAACCAGCAAATGCCCCTGTGGTAGGGTCTCAGAACTTAGTGGGAATCTTTAAGAAAAGAAAAATGGAGAGAGTCAGGAAACTATTACAAAATATTTCAAAGGTCCCATCTCAAAACTTGATTCATACAAATTAGACCTGCTGTTCTGAGGCACATGTGGTCTAATAGGTGAACAAAAATTAGAAAGGTCATTTAAAACTCCATTTGGGTGGCAAAAAAAAGTACGAATTTCATGAATTACATCAAGTTTTAACCAGCACAAATTGGTCATTCAGGTTCTGGACCTATACACTAAAAATGTTCTGAGCTGTGTTCTGAACTTTTGTTGTATTTCTAATTTTAACTTGACTCAACATACAGAGAAGAGTGGGAATGGATCCAAAAGCTTTCTGGCTCCGAATCTATGGAAAGTGTGGATCATACTTCTGACTGCCCCATGCAATTGTTCTTCTACGAGCTCCAGATGGCAGTGAAAGCTCTCCTTAAGCTGATCAATATACCTCTACACCAGGTACAAGTCTTTTCCATTTTTCCCTTCTGTTTATCATTAATGGAAACTATATTACAGAAAAAAAACTCAAAAGGCTTTTGTACATATGTTTATATAGACACATCTATGTACATATATGATTTTCATTTATTTAAATGCCATTATGCACACACATATTTTATATTTGGTGACTACAAGAGGTCTTAGACTGCAATTCTGCCACTTTTCCTTAGCTCCTCTGTTAGACTCTTCTGAGATCCCTGAGCCCTAGTATAGAATGGCCTGACCAGGCAAGGAAACTTTATTGTCTGTTCTACCTTAAACTATTCTACCAAGTCTCAGCTTCAGGATAACATGAAGCAATGAAAACAAGCAATAAATACATAGGTGTACAGTTTAATATACAAATGATTTATCTAAGAACAAGAACAGTTGTGTCAGTGTAATCTACAGCAATGGCCAAGGTAATGCCATGTTATCTTTTCACAGAGAATTTACGGTCAAAATTATCATGTCATCTAAATCAAAATGTACAAATCTACATCTACTAATAAGGTCCTCAAGAAAAACTGTTGGGACTGGAGGGATAGCACAGCGGGTAGGGCGCTTGTCTTGCATGCGGCTGACCCGGGGTTCGATCCCCGCCATCCCATATGGTTCCCCAAGTACTGCCAGGAGTAATTCCTGAGTTCAAAGCCAGGAGTAATCCCTGAGCATCGCTGGGTGTGACCCAAAAAGAAAAAAAAAAGAAAAACTGTTGATGAAGTCATAACATACAGAGGTTCGTGAGACCGACCACAGTATAAAACCTGACACGTTGTGGTCCCCTGGGCACCACTGTATAGGGCCCTGTAGGCCCCTAGCAGCACCTCAAGTGGTCTGGACAACCCCCATCACTTAGCACCCAAAACATCTTCTTGAACTGATAGCTCATTTGGCAGAGAATCACCTGAAGGAGTTCCCAGGCCTCCTGGGCACCATTTTGGACCTCCCCGCCATGAAAAAAAAAAAAAAAGAAAGAAAGAGAGAAATAAATAAATAAATAGGGATGGGGAGGGAGGGAAGAAAGAAAGAAAGAAAGAAAGAAAGAAAGAAAGAAAGAAAGAAAGAAAGAAAGAAGGAAGAAAGGCTGTTGGCAGAGAATAGTAAAAGTTTATCAGACTCTATTTAGTAAGTAAATCCAGTTAAAAAAATTTTTGAAGAGTGTTCTAGGCCCATCATCTCCTCCCAGTCAATATACACGTATGCACATATATCATTACACACACACACACACACACACACAATGAACCAAGTTTAGCGTATAAACAGGAAGACCATTATAGCACTGACTGGCTCTCTTTTAATAGCTGAAAGATAACCATAAATTGGCCTCTGACCCAGGGAGGCAGGGGGTGGTTTAAGAGTGTTCTTCCACTGGAGTATTGCTCTAACTCTGCAAGTCAGTTCTGCAATTCTAAAAAGTCAATTCTGCAAGGCTAATCCAAAAGACCCAAATTGAGAATAAATTGCACAAGATTCCATAAAGACACCAGGGGAATAACTAGATTATTACAAAGGTGGCCATGTACTTAGGGAGGGGTGGGGGGAATGTGGGCTCTACTTGTGACAGTAGATACTATTAAAGGGTTTCTTGGGCTTAACAGGTTTGAAGCAGCTCATATTTCATTGGTGACTCGGGCTACATATACATGTTCGGAGAAGGCTGCCTAACTGCCTATGAGTGCATACATTTTTTTTTATACTTGTAAAATTTTTTCAGTCCTTGGCCAGAAACTACATTTTTCCCCCTTAACCAACTTAAATTGAAACTAGTGGATTTTTAATTCAATCCATTTTTGTTGCTTCATGTAATTATATTCATCATTTTGAAAAGCCCACAGAATGCAATCATTTTCTGCTTTTATAAGAAGCATAAATGTTGTTTTCAGAGTTTATGTGGAACATTACTGCCTTAAATCTTGATTTTATATAGCATTATTAAATGGGCTGAACCCTAATATTTATGTTGTATAAAAATTCCAAGCTTGAAGTCGTGTAATTTTGTTAGATGTTTTATGCCAGTTTGGTGTTGTTTATGTAAGTGCCATGTTGTAACTCTCCTATTTTTCCTCCGCGCGTGTCCCTCTGCAGGCAAGGAACTTCCGTCTCTACACACAGGAGGTGTTGGAAATGGGTCACAATGTGTCCTTTCTTCTCCTGCTCCCTGCCTCAGACGACGTCTGTACAGCCCCAGGACAGAATAATCCTTACACCCCACACTCAGGGTTTCTTAACCTCCCTCTTCAGATGTTTGAACTTGGTATAGTAGCTTGTTTCACCTAGAAATATTAACCCAGCCTCCTTATAATAAAATCACAAAGTTATATCTGTTCCCCCTTGTCCCAGTGGAGGGTCAATAAATCACATGATGGCTTTGGCAACAACCCTTCCTAGAACTGTGTACAAGTCTGAGAGAAAGCAAAGCTCCAAGACTATGTGTCTCAGCAATAATTATTGAAACGTAGCTCAGGCCCACTGGAAAGGAGAGAGATCCAAACAGAAAGTTCAGTTATCAGGCTGCGATTCTGGCCTCCCATTTGCCTTCTTAAAACAGAAACACAAGAACTGATGTTTTCATGAAAAGTTCCTCTCCCCTCCCTGCGTTCCTCCCCTCCTGCCTTTCTCTCTCTTCCTCCTCTTCACATCACCTCCATCCTCTCTCCTCCATCCTATCTCCCACTACTTCTCCCCTCCCCACTTTTCTTCCCCTCTCCCACTCCAACTGGGAAAAAAACAACGAAATTAAACTACATAGTGTCTATCGCTTTGGAGGGAAAAATTCTAAGTAACACTTATTCGTCAAATAAATTCTAGTATTCAATAAGCCCCAAGTATATTAGACCATTTGAGAAATTGAGGGGATCTCGTGGGGATTGCGATATTGTGATTATAATGTGAGATTATGATCTGGCCCTAACTTTCAGAAATGAATAGTCTAGGCCCCAGTTTCTCCGTTTTTGCAGAGATCCCTACTGCCCACTGAGAATGTAAGAAGGCTTTGTCTATTTCCCCCATGGTCTTAACAGGCCAGTAAGAGGCAATTAGCAAGAGTTTCCTTCGTTTCAAATGAATTGTATGATTTGGGGAGGGTGAGTAACTGGCTGGAGAGAGCAGAGACAGATTGTCTCTGCATTGCTCCCCAACCACCAGATTTAGAAACAGACAAGGCAACTGCCTGAGGTCTTGCTCTGAAACCTGGGCATCTGAATCTAAGTTTATCCCCCAGAGTAAATGACTTTAGTCTCTCCATTCCCCTAGTTTCAAGCAGTTCATATGCCCAAATGCTGAACAGCTATTACTGTTTTCCAGAGAAGAGAAAGGTAGTAAGAAGAGCTTGAATCAGACTTGTGGACTGTGGCTTGAAGGTTCTAAGTCTTTCTGTATCAAATGCTCAGTAATGTTGACCATACCCCTCCCACAAAGACTGTATGTGGATATGGCCGTTTGATGATTCCCCGTTCCAAAGAGCATTATCAGTCCATGATAGAACTGCACTGCTATTAAGAAATATAGTTTGGGTCAAGGTATTTCATTTCAGGTCAATAAGCGTACATTAGCTATCTACCTTTCACGTTCAGAGATGAGTAAGACAGAGTTTCTGCCCTCAAGTCACTTTCAGAAGTGAAATATGAATATAAATTATTATTGAATGAGGTAGAAATACACCCCAAGTCATAAATATTAAGTAGATATTGAAGGAGATAAAATGGCACTTTCTCAAAGAAGCTATTAGAAACCTGCCTTAGAAGAGAAGATAACTTGTGAAGGCCAAAAAATGAACAGGATGTTAAAAAAACATTGATAAAAATAATAGCGTCTCTTACAGAGAGTTGTAAAATGGACAAAGACATGAAAGAATATAGAAAGTATCAGAAAAAGAGCAAATGACGCATTTTGCTACATCAGAGAAATGAAGTGAGGAAATATTGGATCATGAAGGAAGCTGTCCAGACAAGTTGGGCCCATATTTGGCAATCTCTTGAGGCTGATGAATCTATTTAAGCTCAACTAAAAACCAGGTAGAAGGGATAGTTATAGGGATAGGGTTATTATAATATTCAATGTTAGAATAGAAGTAATAGATAAAGGTGTCTTGGAGAATAATGGACAGTTTGGGGCAATTAATTATATGAATGAGAAAAGAAATGAAGTATAAAGACCGAGTGTGTTCCCATGGATTTAGCCTCAAAGACAATGAGGCTGTTTCTACAACTTTCAGAGACAAAAATGACTTGGAAAATAAAATTATGTATTTAGCTTTTAGTATCTCAAGTCAGATGATGCTAATACAATGTCCAAGTGGACATATTCATCTGGCAATAGAAATGTAGGAAAGAAAGTGGGTACTAAACACAAAATTTGGCTAGGGCCTATAAGTGGCAGCTGAAGCTATGAAACAATCATTTCCCCAGGATAGAAAATTGACAGGGACAGCAACTGTGGAAGATACTCCACTGTAGAACAAAATGGGAGTCTATATGAAATGGACACACAAAATGTGCTAAATGTACACATGCTGTTATTCCACATTTATAGGCAAATTTTTGTAAGATTTTCTCCATGGCTCAATGGACTTGGCGGGTGTCATTCATAATAGTGACTGATTCCCAAGACCCTCAGAGAACTTAAGCCCTGAAAAATTTCCTCCTTACCCTGCCTGCAAGAAGGCTCATGAACTGTTTATGGACAGGCACACTTTGTTCTCCACTATTGTTATTCCCTATTCTACAGTGTCCTCTGTCCATTTAATTGTTCATTTACCCATCAACAAATTCTGATTAAGTAATCTACCATTGTCAGGTAGTAAAGATTCAGCAACAGACATACTCTTCGTGAAGCTTATATTCTAGTGGAGGAAAAATAATAGATTAATCAGCAAACAATGTGGTGAGTGTGAGAGTGTAATGAAGTATATGAGGACTATGAAAGTTTCCAGAAAATGTCACATGGTTGGGCTTAATTCCAATAACATACACAATCCTTCCAGTCTTTTTTAGGGATTAGGATGAAATGTTACCAATAACAAAAATGGTGCCATGTCTAGCATAGTGCTTATTGTACTTCAGTACAACCACCAGCAATTTCCAAAATACTGTTGAGTTTTAGTAAGAATTTATTGTTGAATTTAGTAAGAGACAAATTCTGCCATATCCACACAAACAGTCAGCTTTCCAAGAGGCTGATTAGCATAGATACTTCCTCCATTAGACATCAGCTCACTAAACATTTAATAACACCAAAGGGAGCTGCTAAGCCCCTCTAAGAAACATGCTAATAAATCTTAATTTCCTTTTTATAAGCAGGGACTTGTATCTTCCACAGATAGATACACAGCAAAAGGTCAAGAGATACACTGAGTACTTCTGGGAAAGAGAATGTCATAAAATTCAGCCAGAAATCAGAAAACTGTAAAAGAACATAAAAATTCTAATGAAACTTTAAAAGGTGAAAATTATGGGACTACGTAAATTATGAAGAATAAAGGAATACACTATATTTCAGCCTGACTTGTATAAGACATCTCTGTCTCGATGAAATGATTTGAGATTTGGCAAAGTGACCATGTTCCTGCCAGTGGCCTGAGTGAATCATAAATAACTTGCTAGCCAGCTATGGAAAACTGCAACTGTGTCTATTCCAGCACTAAACAGATCTAGCAAGGGCAAAATGGTGAAGGAGCTTAGCCCTCTGTCTCCAGGAATAAAGAGTAGCCTAGGCAGAGCTCATTATGTATTTCTTCATAGGATTACCTGTAGAAGAGAGAGAGAGGTTACCACTTAGGAGGAGATTGTGATATCTCTAAAAGCAAAGTTGAGTTGGGGTAATAGATAAAATTTTATTAGAGACCCTCTCCTTTACACTGCCCAAGAGCTGATACTGTCCCACCCTTTGGTGGGGACAGAATAGAGCATGCTGAATTGATTAATTAAGCAAAGCTGAAAGACTTGAAAAGGTCATTGTTGATATGCTTCCCAGAGACAAAAGGCAAATCAGGATCACAAGCCATCAAAACTATCCAGTGGTATGGCCCTTGAGGATTTGCCCAGTCTGTGTAGGGGAGTCACCCTCCTGACCCTGTGCCATCACAGTTGACAGCAGGTCAAAGATAAGGAAGGTTGAGTTTATTGATTTCCTTTTCTCTTTGATTCAGACTGTATGTACTCAAAAGAATTTTTTAAGTGAGGAAATTTTTAATGTCAAAGACTGATATAGACTAAATATTTTGGATCTTGGCTCTATCCTTCATTTAACACACATTCATTCACTGAGTTTCCATTGTGTACCAAGTACTGTTCTGGGGCTAGAAATGCAGAAGTATAGAATCCAGTAGAAGATATAGTCATCTATATCAACAGTTACAAAATCATGAAAGCCCTGCTTTTAAAAGTAGGCTGTTGAATTTCAGAGAAGAAGCACTCCATTCTTCTTTAAAGGCATAATATGTGAGCTATACCTTGAAACAGAAGTAACCCTTCAGAAAAGGAAAGAAAAGGCAGAACTGAAAAAGGAAAATAGTTTTAAGTAAAAGGAATAGAAGGCACAATGACTTGGAGACCTGAGAAAATGCAGACCAATTAAGTATACTCTCAGTAGCTCACTGAGACAGATGAGTAAGTAGATCTGAAGAAATGACAGGAAATGAAGCTAACAATTAAATAAGTCAAAATCACAGAGATACTTATGCCATCCTTTAAAAAAATTAGATTTTTTTATCTTGTAGGCACTGTAGATTATCAAAAGATTTTAAGAAAAGTAAAAGTAGAGTCTGACTGCTTTTCTTAGCAGCACTGTTGAAGGTGGGTTGTAGAAACGGAAAACAAAGGACTGAGACTAGAGGCAATGAAACAGGTAAGAGACTAATATAGAGAGCAATAAGAAGAACCCTTAACAAACACAGCCCAACGTGGGTAGAGAAGAGAAAGTAAAGACACAAGAATTTAGAGGTCCTATCCAGACAGATGGCAGGACAAGAAGGAACTCACCCGTGTGCATGTGACCAGGGCCAGAAATTAAGGAAAACCAAGGGACAGGGAGCCACCTTGGTACATTCCTAGAGAGACCTAGTGACAGAATTCTGCACAGCAGACCCCAGCAAAGGCACACGAGTGAGAGAGTTTGACCTGAAGATTCCAGATCAGGAATGTGTACACTTAAAGAGAGAATGGTACAGGCACAATACTGGAGGTGGGCAGATGGCAAGGAACAGGACACATAAGGATGCACACCAGTAAAGAGGAGAGACCGAGACATTCAGGAGGGACATGGACTCTTCTTAAACTGTACAGCAAACTTTAGCTATTTCTCCAGAATCCAGGAGCTCAGAATTAAACCCATGTTTGTGCTAACGGTGTGAGGGTATGCGACTCCTTCCTCTCTGTTCTGAAGCCTCAAATCCCTAACCCCTTGGTTTAAATTATTTAGTTTAGAATTTTACAGTCATGTTTATAATCCCTGTGTCAGTAATTAAACTTGGTCTTTCCTTGAATTAAAAAAGAAAAAGAATTTAGAAGTTAAAAATTAATAGAACTTTGTGACTCACTTAGTATGTTTAGGACAAGTTGGAAGATCCAAAGAGTGTGTATAGATTGCTCAAATGGATGTAGCTGCTATCTACCAAAACAGGAAATGTGAGGGGAAGAAAAGGTTTGGGGAAGGGAGAGATGATGAGTTCACTCTGACAAATGGTGAGTTTTGAGGTGCCTGTGGGATATCCAGGCAGTGAGCCTAATGGAATCCAAGCCACAAGCTTATAAGAAATGGCACCATCTCAACCCTCATTCCTAATGCCCACAATTTAGTATACCATTCCTGAATTCCAACTGTCAACTCATTCACTACCAGGAGCCGTTAGAAGGGCATTTTATGCCCATGTTCTTTCTGATACTTTAACAAAGAATCATGTAACTAAACTAATTTTCCCAGAAGGAAATTTTGTTGATTTCTTTGCTTCCTAAATAGTCTATATAGCCTAGGAGTCTACAATGGGAGTCTATTAAAAAATCACTGGATTTAGAGCTCTTTAAGAAGAGTATTCTGCTCTCAATCCTGTTCTAATGTTGTACTAAGTGCTTTATTCTTCCTTGGAGAACCAGGCAGAGGTGTGAACAAAAGTTTATTTTGTATGTGATATATACCTCTTGTTGGACTGGGCTCTCCTATATTTATACTATTTCATCTTAGAGAGAGCTGAAGCAATAGCACAGCAGGTAGGGCATTTGCCTTACAAGCAGCTGACCTGGGTTCAATTCCTCCTCCTCTCTCGGAGAGTCCGGCAAGCCACCAAGAGTATCTTGCCCGTACAGCAAAGCCTGGCAAGCTCCCCATGGTGTGTTTGATATGCCAAAAACAATAACAACAAGTGTCACAATTTGTTGTGAGACATTACTGGTGCCCGCTCGAGCAAATTGATGAGCAATGGGAGGGCAGTGCTACAGTGCTTGATCTTAGAGAGGCACGATTTTCCTCTCCTAGATATGAGAAAACTTCTGATCAGGCACATCATACGTGGCAGAACTGTGATTCGCATTCAGGTCTATCTGACATCTAAGCCCACTCTTCACCCTACTATACTTAATCTTACTTTTATTGGTATATTGGTGCTGGTTGCTTATTAGCCTGTGACTATCTTACATAGAAGAGAGTAGGAAAAAGGCGCCACAGAAAATTAGTCTTAGTTTGTGAATTACTGACACATCGTGTGGTTCAGATAATGCCTTTCTGTAGACTTATACCATTTTGTCTGTAAAATGCATGTGATTCACATTAGAAAAAAATTAGACGCTTCCAGTCTATCCTCCCCTCCTCAGTTATGGCTACCAAATGTATCATTGCTAAACCACAAAAGACTATGTTAAAGTAACATTTGTTAAAGTAACATTAAAGGCTCTGGATGAAAACCACCAAAGTGGGAAAGTGAAGCACTGTAGTTGAAAGGTCCTCATAGCTCACTGTGGTAAGTGGCATGGTGGTGTGGGCGCTAGGAGACCACCCACTGATCCAAGCTCCTACCGCAAGGAGACACAACAAGAGAAAGTTGTGGACACCCTGGCATTTTGGAATTCAGATGGGACTGATAGTGTTTCTTTTAAAGAAATTCCTTAGTGCCTCTCCCTATCTTCCCAGTTATATTTTAGAAAAAGGGGGAAAGGTGAGTTTTTTTTTAACAACTTGGTTTAGAAATGTAGGCTTTGATACACATCACTCTCTTCACTTCCAGCCAGGAGAGTCCATCTGTCAAGTGCTAACATGATATAATCCCTCCTTGAAAGGCATAAAAACACATTCGGAGGACTATGAGGGTCAAGAGTAAGCTAAAAACTAATAGTCACTCCTGTAAAATCTGCCAGTAAATATCACAGGCCTGAAATCGCTTTCAAAACGGGGAGAAAATTAAGGAGGAGTGGAGGTAGAGATAAGGCTCTTTCCTCTTGGCAAACATTTGTTTATTCATAGAGTCAATAAACATTGAGTAGTTACAATAGCTCTGGTTTTGAGGACATAACTAATAGGTGCTACAGTTTCTGTTCTCAAATAAACCACAATACAATACCAAGGCAGTCAAGTAAACATAATTCTAATAAGGCAGAGTAAGTAATATATTTTGACGTGAGCCTTACTAGCTCAAAAGAAAAAGAAATTCATTCTGTGTAGAAGGCAGGAAGTGCCCAGGAATATTTCACTAAAGTTAAGAAAATGCTCCATATGGGGTCATTAAGTAAAGAAACAGTACGAAAATTAGATCATCTGGAGGGAGCTCAGTCTTTACTCATTTACTGCGAAGTTAGATGAGAAATTCAGGTCTTCTTGGTGTTAGGCATCGGAGTGTCTTGTTAGAGGAATATGGAAAAGAAACACTGATGACAGAGGGAATAGCCCACACCAGGACTGAGCTTACCTGACTAGAGAAATGCCACCTAGAATTAGTGCACTGGAATATGGAGGAAACACAGAAATCCTCACCCCATTCTACTCTTCATATATTTCATAGAAGGAAATTCAAACAGATCAGGTCACCCTTCTGCTCATCTAAGACTCATCCTAAGAAACCAAGCAAGGAAGCAGGCAGTGGGAATTGCAGGATCCACAGAAATCTCTCAATGTGCAGGGAAGAAGGGCTTCCTCGGTGAACTGTAGAAATGATCAGGTGCCGCATGTGAGGTGGTGTGGTTTTAGCTTCATTAAATGGCTAGCTCTGGGTCTTGGGAACCAACAACAAAGGGTTCAAGGGTTGTAATTAGATGTTCTTCCTAGAATTCCTCACCAAAGAAGCCAAAATAAAAAGGGTTCAACATATTTGTTGACTTATAACAGTACAATTTCCAGAGCATGGAATGCACTGGTCCAGGTCAGAAGGACACAGAGTAAGTAAGGTTCTGGGAGAGTGAGCCTCCAAATTCAACAATGCTCAGGAAGAAAATAGCACTTCACCAGTCATAATCAGGGTGCTTTCCTCCTTCTGGAGTCATGAAAGCCAGTCAGAGAAGTATGGAAACTCTGACCACCTCAGGCTGCCTGGACCGAGGTTCAGTATTTCCCATATCCAGTATTTCTTTCCCATATTCATCTAACCAGCTTTGCTCTTCCTTTCCCACAATGGAGAAAAAAGTTAGACTGTTTCCTATGGCCTCTACCCCATGATATTTTGAGAGAGGAAGTCCAAGTCAGCTGAAAACAAAAAATGATCTGTTGAGCCATCTTACTCTGTCATCGTCCTGTCTTGTTGCTCCATTATCATCCTTTCTCTTGTGTACATCCTATCCTGTGTGCACATCCTGTATCATGTGTACTTCCTATCCTGTGTGCACATCCTATCCTGTATGCACATCCTGTCTCATGTGCACATCCTTTCTCGTGTGTACAACCTGTCTAGTGTGCATATCCTTTCTCATGTGCACATCCTGTCACATGTACACATCTAATCCATTGAGCCATCTTGCTGTATCATACTTCTAAGGAACAACTAAGAAGAAAGGTGAAAAGATCAAAGTCCATCATGATAGGTCCATGGAGATGTTTTCCAGTTAGATAAAAGACACCCAGAGGAAAGCATATTTCATATCTAGTGGGATTTCTGGCTTTAGAAAGGAACAGGCAAGATAAATAAGCTAGATAACACAAGAATAAGCACAATGTGGAAATCAACTAGGTTTCAAAATGCTATTTGGTTTCTCTGTTTTTCCCTTAAGGTGATAAGCAAACTTAATTTCCCGATCATATGTGCATTTTGCACAATTTGGAGCTAAACATGAACTTCAGTTTGAGCCAACCAGTCTTCCCCATACCTTAACAGGACTCGGTAAACCTTAAAAGGGAATACTGTCTGACTTAAACCAGACAACTGGCCCCTTAAGAGCACATTTATAATTTATTTATGGCTTAATATTTTCCACTGATAGGATTAATAAATCATGTTTTCATTCGACTTGTTTTCTCTGAGGTATGAATTTCTCTATTTTGATACCAGATCTTAACATGTTTTATTTTGCTTGTCCATTCTCCAGTTCATTTTTGCAGCTACAGGGAGAAATTTATTAGTCTGTATTGCCGCCTTTCTGCTGTTATGGAGCTGGATTCTCTGAATACTCAACAGTCCCTGAGGGAAGCAATCTCAGACAGCGAGGTTGCAGCTGCCAAACAAAGACACCAGCAAGTTTTGGACTTCAGTCAGGTATGGTTTGTTTCTTCTGAGAGCAAACTAAGTGAAAAGTCAAAATCTACCTGATAGCACCCAGTTTGGGGGACGGGAGAGATGGAGAGGGGAGCAAATAGGCTGCCTGGAAGTAACATGGGAACATAGAGAGAGGGTCTCAAGCATATGGGTGGTGCTAAGGAAAGTAAACATACGCACCAAAACCATAACTATCAATTGACAATGGGACAGGAGTGGAAAGGAAAGAGACATTGTTGGTCTTGCTGAGCGGACAGAGGGATGGGAGGGAAGGTCAGGGGCATCTCATTGGCAGGGGTGTGCAGTGACTTTGTACGTCAATACCACAAACTTGAACACCAACTTAACCCTATTTCTTAAACTATAATTTAAATGAATAAACGTAAAGTAAGGGGAAAGGGACAAAACTGAAAGGAGAACTAAGCATGAGAAAAAAGAGCAGTCAATACGAGTTAAAGACCACAATGGACAAGTGGACTATTGATTTGGTTAAAATGTGGAGCTCAGGGAGTTGTATTTCAAAACAAAGGCTGAAGAAAAAGCTACAGATCACTCACAGTTACTAAGAGCTATTATCAGACCCTGTGCTTGGCTTCCCATATTGGAGAAAAAGCTTACTGCCAAAAGTAGTGATCAAAATATTGGTAGCATAGTGGTGAGCATAGCTTCCCCCCAAAATAGTATTCCTACCTGGTACCCCATTGAGAATTCCAACAAAAAGTAAAATTGTAAATCACTACCCTGAGAAACAGAAGGAAATAATTCATCAGTTTATGTTATTCCAAATCCAGTTGGATCTAAGATAACTCAAGCTTTGGCCATCTTTCTGGCAGAGTTGGCACATTTGAGTGTGGCTGGGTCAGAAAATGCTGTTCCCTGATGTGTCTGGAGAAGCCTTACATTGATACCTCAGAGTCTTGTGAAAGCGGAACTGGTTGGTAATTTATAGAATCTGGATCTATTCCCAAATTACTTCAAAATCCATTGGACAAATCTTATGATCTCTCTGCCTATCAGTTACCCAGTTCACAAAATAAGTATAACAAAGAGCTCCTGGTAAACATAACCATGATATATACTCAGTCCAATTTGATAAATTCTTTTTGAACACCAAAGCATCAAACACTTTACGGGAGATAAAAATTTGAATTATACTTGATTCCAGACAGGAGGAGTTTAAAATCCACTGGGCTAGACAAGAAGTGTGTGTAAATACTATTTTTAACTGTATAGGTATCAAATGAGAAGTTTTTTAAAAGTTCTGTGTCAACCCAAAGAAGTAAAAGTATACTTAAATTTCTAGGCATAAAAATAAAATTCCATAAAGGATGTCTCAGAGCTGGGCCTAGAGCAGTAAGTTCGATTATAGTGGGGATAAACAGACTGAAAGATAGTTCAATGGGCTGGCATACAAGCTTTGCATGCAGAAGTCCTGAATTCTATCCCTGGCACTGCATGGTCCTCAGGCACTGCTGAGAGTGGATCCCAATAATTGTTGAATGTGACCTCCAAACCACAACAACAAAAGTTTCCAGTCTTCTAAAGTGAGTCAGTAGATGAGCTGTCTCTCTGGCTCAATACTGGACATATCAAATTAATATTTGATTTCCAGGGCCTCCTTTTCCTCTTATGTAAAATGAAGGGCAATGGACTAGATGACTTTAAGGGCCTGCTTGATGCTAACATATCGTGACTTCTTTAGCAAGAAATTTTTAGAATACCTTAGGTTCTGTGTCTGCTTTATTTCTCTGACACTTCCCTGAAATTTTCTTTTTCTTTTCTTTCTTTTTTTTTTTCCTATTTGGTTTTGGGCCACATTCAGCTGTGTTCACAGAGCTTACCTCTAGAGCTTACTTCTAGCTCTGAGCCCAGGAATTACTCTTGGTAGGGTTCAGGGGACCATATAGAATTCCAGGGATCGAACCCAAATTGACCTCATGTAAGGCAAACACCCTGCCCACTGTACTATCTCTCCGGCCCCAAGGCTTTCTTGAGCTTGTCATAATCTCAGCTCCTCCAGGGAATGCTCCTGACTCCTTTTCTTTTCACTTCACTTAGTGTTCTACTACCGTTTTTTTTTTCTCTTTCCCTTTCATCTTACCAGTAAGTGGTATGAATAAGGCAGGCCAGGCAAGGAATTTCTTCAAAGGTTTAGCAATTCTGACCTCCCAAAGCAGGTAACTTGAGAGCCCCCTCAACATACTCTTCTAGTCAGCTAGTCAGCCAGGTACATGGAGACTTGGATAAAAGCCAATTCCCAAAGGATTCAAAAAGTAACTTCTTTGCCAGGCCTCCTCCCTGTACCCATTGCCTTCAGTGGCCTGCCTTGCCTCAGCCAACATGGATCACCTCACAGGCTGTAGACAGTGATAGCATCTCTTCCCTGATCTATGCTGGGCTTCTTATCTCTCTGAGATAAGTTTTCCTTCAGAGAATCAAATGAAAACCAACTGCGACCACTCACCCATAGGTGTCCACATCTGAGCCCAACATACAACCATGACCTTGCAGAGGCAATGCCAGCCACCAGCTGTGAGACCATTTGTAAGATCCCAGATCTAAGACAGTGTTGAAGTCACTACACAAACCAAACATTGTCAAGAGTAAGGGAGTCTATGTAAATAGAGTGGAGGTGAGGGGGGCGGGGGGAGAAGTCAAGGAGTGAGGCCAACAAGGGGGAGAACTGAACCCAAGAGGGAAGGTGGAGAAAATCATAGATAAGGTATACACGCTACAGAGACAGCACAGGCAGCAGAAATGTCAAAATGTAGAGACTAAGAACTTGGCATATTTGGAGCTGCCACAGTCTAAAGGGCAATTAGACTATAATTTATATACTGTAATGCTTCAAATGCTCCTAAGCTGTAATAGAAACACAGCTCATTAAATATAGCCAATCTATCATCCCCTCAAGCACCTTGTAACTGTGCTGTGAGAAAACCAATCACCTTTACATTTTAATAAAAATATTATCTTGCCCGAGTATAGAGAAAGGGGTGTGATTTATGGGACAAAAACCAAAATTTTTCAAGGGCAGAGTGAGAAATGGATGCAGAACTTTTAACCAACAGACCTAGGGAATTCATGGTCTTTCACTTTAAAAATATGTCAGCAAGTCTTTAGAAGCTGAATTTGGACCTTAAAATCAGAGGGATTATGTTGTCAGTTATTTTTAGATCAACAGTATAAGGTAAAAATGGGTGAAAATTGTACCTCTTTTAGAGCTACTTAGCTAAGTCAGTCCACAGGCATCCCTGTACTGATGTTTTTAATTATTTGGCATCTAATAACTCTTCATTTCATCACTTAAAAGATTAAGAAGTAAATATTGTTTCTACACATAATTTTTAAATCCCTACACTAAATGTTTTCTCAGAAAAAGGCTGAAATAATCATATCCAAAGAGAACAAATGGATCGTCATTAATAATAGTGCATTTCCAAGGGCTGCTGTAGCATATTATCACCATTACCATCACCACCACCACCACTGCCACCATCGCCCCCCCCCCGAAAAAAAAAAGAGAAATGTATTCTCACCTAGTTCTAGAAAAACAGAAATCTGAACTCAAGATGTTTAAGAGGGAGGCTCTTTTCTATCCCCCACCTCCTGGGAGCTGCCCACATTCTCTGACTGGTAGCCACATCACTTCAGTCTCTGTCTCCCTGGTCATATTGTCCCCTCTTCTGTCTGCCAGGCCTTCCTGTGCCCCATTTGAATGCCTTTATGAGGACATTTTTTTCTTGGAAACAGAAACACATCCCTACCCCCCAATAATTTTGAATAAAATCCTCTCCAACTTCTTAATCACACAGTTTGCCATGTAAGGTAATATTTACCCCTAAGGCAATCGTCACAAGTTCCAGGGATTGAGACTTGAATGTATATTTGGGGAGGTCACCGTTAAGCCACTACAATAATCAGGATTGTGATTATTATAACTGAAAACTTTAGAAAACATGTCATTTTAAAGTACACTTCTCTTTACAAGTTGCCATCACTATCCCCTCTGTTCAGGAGTAGAGCTAAAGAATTAGGAAACCATTCATTAATTCACAAAACAATCATATATTGAGTACTTGTTCTTTTCACAAAGGTAAAAAAGTTGCAAAAGCACAATTTCTGCCCTTTATGGGCACTCCAAAAAGCTGCTCGTAATCCCATGGTATTTTGCCTTTAAAATATTTACCTCTGAGACAAGAGGATGCTGCATGACCTATAAAAGCCAGATAAGAATGCAACAGCCCCATTTGTCCAAGTCTCTCTCTAGATTTCTGCTCCGGCTTTGCCTCACTGAACTTCAGATTTCTACCTCCACAATCACTCAGTTCCTGCTCACGGACTTGTCCATTGTCAAACCTCCTTCTTATATCGCTGTGCTACCAAAGTTAATAAACACAATCTCACTCTTTCTTTACCAGCCACGAACACTCTGCCAAGTCCCATCACCCAGGACAAGACTAGAAAGTGGGGTAAATTGTCTATTGACCATACAATACCATTCATGAGTTCACTATTTGGATTACTATCACAGTTTCAGACTCAACTCTGTTACTCCAAATTACCAGACTTGAGGGAATCATTTAAAAGTCTTCAGATAAATTTTGAAAATATAGCATGAGGTAGTAATTTCTGTGATCAGAGACCTTAACTTTATATTATTCATACAATGAACACCTATATGTATGTGGAATGACACCAACTTTTCAAATACTCTTCAGAATTAAATAGGTGTCAGAACTAGAAGGGACATTCAACCTGTTCTTTTTAATAACCGAGTTAATATATGAACTGAAAAAAGGCCTCAGAAAGGTATCTAGTGAAATTAAATGCAAAACGTTACATGGGCCCAATCCTTCCTTGGAAACAGAATAATCATAAAGATAATGACCAGTGTCTAATAAGATAAAGTAAATCTGTTGTCCACAGAGATATAAACAAAAACATAACTGACTTTTACACATTCAGAGAAGCAACTATTATATTTTATATTACTGTTCAAGATCACTTTGTTAACCCAGAAATCAAAATAGTAGTGATATAAACTGAACTATGTTAAAAATACAAGGACATTTAACTAACCAATGATTTATTTAATATATTTCATACATTAGAATAATTTATACGTAAGAAAGTAAGAAATTTCATATGTAAAGTTAGTTCTTTTCTATTTAAATATATTCAAGAATGTCTGCTTAGCCAAGTATTTCAATAATTCTTTGTTTTTCTATTTTACATTAAGAACTAAATACATTTCTTTCTCCAATTATTTGAGAATTTATAGTTTATGTTATAACTTCTTCACAATATTCTAATGAGAAATATTTTTATATCCTAATAAGTAATGAACTTTGGATTTGTGAGAAATACACCCTACAGTTTTGCAAAGCATTTTCAATTTTGTTATATCATCTAATCATCAAGGCATTCCTGTAAGGTATGGATGAGATGTTTGTCCACATTTTACATAAAAATCAACAAAGGTTCTATTCAAGGTCAATTGAATTTGCCAAAGATTATTTTTTAACTACTAAATAGTGGATCCCAGATAGAATCCAGGCCTTCTCCTATCTGCACTCACCAACATAGTTTCTTCAGAAAAGTTATGCAAGAACTAAGAAATTATAAAAAGTAGTATTTTTCTAGTTGAAGAAACCCACTGAGAAGAAAATGTTTCCGTCTTACTCAAAGCTATTACCGTAGAAAAAGAGTCATCTTAATAGGGAATCTTACTCCTTTTAATCACTTTTGGTAACTTAATGTCCTTACCACTTTATTCAAAGCAAATAGACGAAGTTTGGCGTGAAATGAGATGGATCATGGATGCTCTACAGTATGCAAGATACAAGCAACCAATTTCTGGCTTATCCATCTCTAAGCTGATTGACCCTTCAGATGAGCAAAACCTAAAGAAGATCAGTTCTACATCATCACATATAGACTGTCTTCCATCGCCGTCCCCATCCCCAGAGATGCATAGAAGAAAGGCAGTGAGTGGTAAGCATTGTTATTTCAGTCCCAGATTCTCAGAGATTCTCAGTCCTATGTATACTGGTAAGATGTTTTTTGCTGAAGCATTAGTCCCAGAAAGCAGTGGGAAACAACTGTTCAGTGGGAAGAGTCCTTGGAAAGCGGAGAGTGAGGTGGGGTATTGACTAAATCTGAAGTAAGTAAGGCGCTTACCTTGCAAGCAGTTGAGCAGGGTTTGATCCCTGGACTGCATAGGTCCCTAAGCACCACCAGAAGCGACCCCTTATCATAGCCAGAAGCACAGAGGACTGCCAAGTATGCCCCCCCCCAAAAAAAAAACCAAAGATCAGAATCGAGAAGGGATAAGATACTAAGATAATCCAAGAAACTTGATATCAACTTCACTTAGATGATAATGTTCAGAGGGAGGAATTTATTCAGCTCTAGTAGAAGCTCCCAAGGAAAATGGCATAGAATAGGAATAAAGCTTCAAAATGCAGTATGGAGACTGCTCTAGTGTCGGGTAAGGGTTGGGTCAGCAGAGGGAACCTGATCAAAACAAGGTAAGGAAAGAGAACAGGACAGCCTCTAGTATACAGGGCAGGTATGTGGCATAAATAGATCTCAGCTGGAAAGTGAAAACTTCTGAAACACCACGAGAAACTGATTGACCCCAATAACTGGTTGGCCTCATCATAGACATAGGTGCCGGAGATTACTTACAGACAAACTGGAATAAACAGGAATAGTGGTGAGAGAGAGGCTAAAGAACAAGGTAGGGGAGATGCCCAGCAATTTACTCTTAGGAATTTACATGACAAATGATAACCAAAAAATCATGGACCATGGTTTAATACCAATCTCAACAAAAGCACTTTTATGCTTTCAAGTCAAAGGCAGGATGGTGAGCCTACTGCTATTTTTCTACTCAAATTAAATAATGGCATGAAAAGTACCTTTCTAAAAGTTCTGTAGATTATAAGATGCAGTTTTATCACTTTATTATAATACTTTTAATAAACAGTTTTGAAATGTGGGCTTGTCCCATAGGGGGCAGCATGGTGTTGAGAAAGAGCTTGCATTTAGAAGTTTGAGACATGGATTCAAATCCCAACTTTGTTTTACTAGTTGTATAAACTTGAACAAATTGCTACATGTGGATCTCAGTTTCCACGTGTTAAATTTGAGGGTGATAACATTTATATCTTGAATAGCTATTTTGAGTAAGATGATCCATGTCATAAATGCATGACAAATACGTAAGAGGTACTATTTTTGTTGTTGTTGTTATTTTTACTATAGAAAACAATAGGTACTATTTTTTTGTTGTTGTTATTTTTACTATAAAAAACCTTATTGGGGATATGGGTCCTTTTAATAAGTAAGTTCTTGTGCTCTCCTGTGTTTTGAAAATTAAAATGTGGCAAGTGGAAAAACTTAAAAGACAGCTCACTTACATTACCAAAGGACTCTATATTTTACCAAATAATTCAGTAGATTTGCTCGAGCGGGCCCAGTAACGTCTCCATTGGAGACTTTGTTGTTACTGTGTCTGGCATTCAGTAGAAAAAGTACGTCAATCAACTGTATTTTAATAAATTCCCATTAGGTAGAAAAATAAATAAAGATCACCCATTGCAGAAGCCAGTCTAAAAAGGCATATAAATACATTAACAACAACAAAAATAAATTGTAGCCCATGCTATAAGCATAGGGTACTATGGAGACTAATGGAGGTAATAAGTATAAACTCATAAGATCAAAGAGCTTCACAGAAAGGGTGGCAAAGTCCAGTACTAGAAGGCAAGAAAAATTGATAAAAGGGGAGGCCATTATAGCAGACAATAGAATGTGCAATTGTGTGCCTGTGAAATTGGGATTTTATTCTACTTTGATGAAAAGCCCGTGGGTACATTTAAGAAAAGATTAATAGAATAAGAATTATTCTTTAAAACCAGTTCTGGCTGTTATGAAGAGACCCTGGAGAAAAAAATATTAGAAAAGTCATTTAGGAGAATATTAATAGAATACCACATTTTCTGGCTTATATGCTTCGAGGTATCATACCAATATAATTTACCCAAAAAATAAAAATGGTTAAGACAGGAGAAGAAATAAACTTGAGTGACTAAGCATACTGAATTCTAATTAGCTTTTGGATGTTCCATGTTCAAAAAATTCTTTTGGGGTTTTTTTGGAGGAGAGATGGTAGTGGTGTGTGGTTTGGTTTTGTTTGTTTGTTTGTTTATTAGTGAAACACCATGAGGTACAGTTGTAGACTTACAAACTTTTGTGCTTGGGTTTCAGTTATACAATGATCGAGCACCCATCCCTCCACCAGTGCCCATTCTTCACCACCAATGATCCCAGTAGCCCTCCAACCCCTCCACTCCATCCCCCACACCACCCAACCTCTGTGGTAGGGCATTTCCTTTTGCTCTCTCTCTCTCTCCTTTAGTGTGTTGTAGTTTGCAATCGGGGTATTGAGTAGCCATCGTGTTCAATCTATAGTCTACTTTCAGCACCCATCTTGCATCCTGAGCGAATCCTCCAAACATCCTTTACTTGGTGTTCCCTTCTCTATCTGAACTGCCTTTTCCCCCAGCATATGCTGCCGGCTTCCAAACCATGGAGCAGACTTCCTGGTACTTATCTCAACTATTCTTGGATGTTCGACTCCCATTCTGTTACTTTATATTCCCCAGATGAGCACAGTCTTTCTATGTCTGTCCTTCTCTTTCTGGCTCATTTCACTTAGCATGGTACTTTCCATGTAGAACCACTTGTATGTAAATTTCATGACTTCATCTTTTCTAACAGCTGCATAGTATTCCATTGTGTAGATGTACCAAATCAATTAGAAATTGAGGTCCCATTTGACCCAGCAATACCACTCCTGGGAATATATCCTGGAGAGGCAAAAAAGTACAGTCGAAATGACATCTGCACTTCTATGTTCATTGCTGTACTGTTCACAATAGCCAAAATTTGGAAGAAACCTGAGTGCCCGAGAACAGATGACTGTTTAAAGAAACTTTGGTACAGTTGTGGTTTTTAATAAGACTATTTCATTTTTATTCTGAAATATTAGTGATATGATTTAACATTCAATTTTTAAGTTTTATTTTTTTATTTTGGGCCACACCCAGCAGTTCATTAATTACTTCTGGCTCTGTGTTCAGGGATCACTACTCACAGGATAGGGAGAACAAACCCAGGTTGGCTGCATACAGGCAATTGTCTCCCCGCTATACTCTCTCAGACCCTTTTTAAGCCTCTTTTTTTGTTGTGGTAATGTGATATACAATACGGTTAATGGTGGTTTCCATGCATACATCATTCCATACCATACCCATCACCAACATGTCACTTCCCTCCACCATTGTTCAAGGGCTCTTTCCAGCCACCCTTCCATGAAATCTCCAGTTCCAATGACTTTAAGTATGTGTTGTTCTCTTGCTGTGTTTCTTTATATCCCACATATGAGAGAGAACTTTTTGTTGTTGTAAAGGTGGTGACACCTGCACACAGATGAAAACTAAACTCCTGAAATTCTAAAAAAATTATATATCAGTAAGTTGATAAGAAAATTTTCAAAAACTCTATATATTTCTTTTTTGAGTATATAAATTATAAAAAAATTCATAGAACAAAATAGCACTGTAGCACTGTCCTCCCGTTGTTCATCGATTTGCTCAAGCGGGCACCAGTCACGTCTCACAACAAATTGTGAGACTTGTTGTGTTACTGTTTTTGACATATTGAATATGTCACAGGCTGGAGCGATAGCACAGTGGTAGGGCATTTGCCTTGCATGCAGCCGGCCCAGCAGAGCCGGGTTCAATTCCTCCGCCCCTCTCGGAGAGCGCGGCAAGCTACCGAGAGTATCTTGGCTCCATGGCAAAGTCTGGCAAGCTACCCGTGACGTATTGGATATGCCAAACACAGTAACAATAAGTCTCACAATGAAGACGGTGCTGGGCCCGCTCGAGCAAATCCATGAACAACGGGAAGACCATGACCATGACCGTGAATACGTCCGGGTAGTTTGCCAGGCTTTGCCGTGCTGGTGAGATACTCTCGGTAGAGTCCTCAGTTAGTAATCCACTTAAATAGTTATGTAAATCTACTTCTAATATTTCTAGCAATGTCATTCTGTATAAGCACAGTCAAAGATACATCAACTTAAAGTTTGGTTCTGGGCCATTAAAAAAAATCTTACTGTTACAGCAACATAGATAGACCTTAAGGAGATTATAGTAAGGGAAGTAAGTCAGAGAGAAAAAAGGCAAAAGCCTTGCTTATGCTTTCACTCACTTGTAGAGAAAGCAATAAGTGCAATAATCAAATCTTAGACTCTGGCAACAGAATGATGCTTACCTGAGGGAAAGGGGTTGGGGGTGGAACATGTAGAGGGGTCTGGTTTGTGGTTTGTGTTAGATGACGACTAGACATTTGGTGGATGACATGGTGTGACATACACAGTTGTTGGGGTGAAGAACTATTTACATATGTGTTGTAAACCAGTGTTTCCTTTATAAAACAACATCCTCTTCTGTAGAATATCAATGGTTTGTCCTTTCAGCCTTGCCACAGGGAACTTAGTTTACCTTAAAGGAGTGTTCTTTCTCTATGGACACAAGAAGATAGTTAATATTATGCTTTGTAACTTGGAAGTTGATTGACTCCAATAATATTTACTCCTGGGCATCTGCTCTTGACTCAGTTGCCCTTAGTTTCTAGCACCCCAAAAGCGGGATCCCAAAGAGGGATTGAATGGACCCAGAGCAAGTTGTGAACTACCCTGGCATCGAAATGGGCCAGGCCAGAGCACCACAATAGAACAAAATAGTATAAATATATGCTGATATATTTTACAATTTATATAAAATATATAAATCCTACAAATATTCAATTTACTAAGAGTAAGGATAATTTTAATAAAATGTTAAGGGAAAATCTGAGTAGGCCTATAAAATTGTATTTTTATCCTTAAAAGGGAATGCTATAAAATATTATGGATAATG